CTTTAAGGATTTCAGTTTGTTTTTTGAAGCCTAAGTGAAACTGTGAGTCTTTTGAGGGCATGCATAGACATAAACATGTATCTGTTCATTTATTCTTTTTGAGGGTGGAGAATTGGACACACCCTTATACAATGACTCTCCAGTAACTACAGGAATGATTCTGGTCTTCATTTTAAACATGTACACTGAGACTTACCCTTAGAATTCCTTTTGATGATAACCTTGAATTTATCCAGGCACTATTTGGAGGAAGCTAAAGTTCTTTCTATAAAGTTCAAAGCTCCAACCTTCCGTAAAAAGCACCCTCTATCCTACTACCAGTTTCCCAAGACCATTGAGCTTGTATCTTGAAGGGTCATAAAAGCTTCTTAAAGCTGAGGCATGGTACTAATACTGGTTGGTCCACTTTCCCTATTATACTTCTGGCTCCTGGTCTAAATTCTGTTAACATTGTAACTTCAGTTATAGTAGGTGGTAAAATTTTATAAATACAGATGCTCCTCCACTTACTATGGGTTAATGCCCCAATAAACCCATCGCAGGCTGAAAATATTTTAAGTCGAAATGCATTCAATATACCTAACCTACCAAGCAGCATAGCTTAGCCTAGCCTACCTTAAACATGCTCAGAACACTTACTTACATTAGCCTACAAACTCATCTAACACAAAGGCTGTTTTATAATAAACTGCATCTCACATACTTTATTATGCATATTGCTTCTGCATTATTGTAAGGTGAACGAGCATAAGTCAAGGACTGCCTGTACTGTTGTAGATGGATCTTATACTGGACTAATTGAAAGTTCAGTATGAGAGTCCTGAGTAGACAAGGTCATCAGAGAAATCATCTCATGCCTGGCCCAGAACTTCTAGCATTCTTTAAATAACACCTTTTAATTACATTACTAATTAACTACCATGATGAGTTTGTTATGTTTCAGAGCAGACTTTTCTTTTTTCATCTTGCGATGTTTCTACCATTTAGAGATTGTATTTGCATAAATCAGCCCTTCTTTTAAGATAAAGACCACCCCATGTTTTTTTGTTTTTTTTTTATCGTAGTTCAATTACATATGACCCAGTTTTTTCCGTGTTACTCTCATCTGCCAGGTACCCTACTCCCACCATCAATCCTCACCCCATTGTCCATGTCCACAGGTCCTTTAATACATGTATCTTGACTTGGCCCTTCCCCTCCTTTCCCCGTTATCCTCTACCCCACCCCGACTCCTCTGGTCACTGTCAGTTTCTTCTCTGTTTCTGGTTCTGTTTGCTCGTTTGTTTTGTTAATTAGGTTCCACTTACAGGTGAGATCATATGGTATTTGTCTTTTTACCCCCTGGCTTATTTTACTTAGCATAGTACTTACCAGTTCTATCCATGTTGTTGTGAAGGGTAGGAGCTCCTTCTTTCTTTTCGCTGTGTAGTATTCATTGTGTAAGTGTACCACAGTTTCTTGATCCACTCATTTACTTTTAAATGGGCACTTAGGCTGTTAATAGCACTTGGCTAATGTGAATAACAGTGCTATGAACATTGAGGTGCATAGGTTCTTTTGAATTGGCGTTTCAGGATTCTTAGGGTATAATCCCAGAAGTAGGATCACTGGATCAAAAGGCAGTTCCATCTTTAGCATTTTGAGGAAATTCCATACTCTTCCACAGTGATTGCACAGTCTGCATTCCCACCAATAGTGTATGAGGGTTCCCCTTTTCTTCACAGTCTCGCCAGCACTTGTTTGTTGATTTGTTAATCATCGCCATTCTGACCAGTGTGAAGAGGTGTCTCATTGTGGTTTTAATTTGCATCTCTCTGATGGCTAGTGATGCTGAGCTCCTTTCATATGTCTCTGGGCCCTCTGTATGCCCTTCTTGGAGAAGTGTCTGCTCAGATCCTTTGCCCATTATTTAAATTGGATTGCTTGTCTTCCTGGTGTTGAGCTGGGTGAGTTCTTTATATATGTTGGATATCAAACCCTTGTCCAGGGTATCATTGGCAAATATGTTTTCCCTTACAGTAGTTTCCCTTTTCATTTTTTTGATGTTTTCTTTAGCTGTGCAGAAGCTTTTAGTTTGATGTAGTCTCATTTGTTTATTCTTTCCTTTATATCCCTGGCTCTAGAGGACATACTGGTGAAGATATTGCTGTGTGGGATATCAGAAATTTTCCTGCCTATGTTCTCCTCTAGGACTTTTATGGTGTCATGATTTATAATTTAAGTCTTTTATCCATGTTGAGTTTATTTTTGTGTATGGTGTAAGTTGGTGGTCGAATTTCATTTTTTTTTGCAGGCATCTGTCCAGAATCTCCCAACACCATTTATTGAAGAGGCTATTTTTACTCTATTTTATGCAGCTACCCCTTTTGCTAAATATTAATTGACCAGAGACATGGGTTTTTTTTTCTGGGCTCTCTATTCTGTTCCATCGACCTTTGTGTCTGTTTGGATGCCAGTACCAGACTATTTTGATTACAGTGGCCTCGTAATGTAGTTTGATATCAGGTATTGTGATCCGTCCTACTTTGTTCTTCTTTCTCAAAGTCGCTGAGGCTATTTGGGGTCATTTATGGTCCCATATAAATTTTTGAAATGTTTGTTTTATATCTGTGAAGTATGTCATTGGTAAATTAATAGGGATTGCGTTAAATCTATAAATTGCTGTGGGTAGTATAGACATTTTAATGATGTGTATTCTTCCAATCCATGAACAAGATATATGCTTCCATTTATTTGTGTCTTCCTTAATTTCTTCAGTGTTGTATAATCTTCTGAATACAGGTCTTTTAACTCCTTGGTTAAATTTATTTCTAAATACTTTATCTTACTTGTTACTCTAGTAAATGGGATTTTTCCCCTAATTTCTGTTTCTGATATTTCATTGTTGGTATACAGAAATGCCTTGATTATGCCTTGAATATTGATTTTGTATCCCACTATTTTGCCAGATTCACTTATTAGGTCAAGTAGTTTTTTGGTGGAGTCTATAGGGTTTTCTGTGTACACTATCCTGTCACCTACAGTAAAACAGTGACAGTTTTACTTCCTTCTGTCCAATTTGGATGCCTTTTATTTCTTTTCCTTGTCTGATTGCTATGACTAGAACTTCCAACCCTATGAGAAACAGAAGTGGTGAAAGCAGACATCCTTGTCTTGTTCCTGATCTTAGTGGGAAAGCTTTTAGTTCTTGCCCATTGAGTATGAGGTTGGCTATAGGTCTTTCATATATGTCCTTTATTATATTGAGGTGTGCCCCCTTTATTCCAACTTTGCTGAGTGTTTTTATCATTAATGTGTGTTGTACTTTATCAAATGCTTTTTCTGCATCTCTTGATATGATCATGAGATTTTTGTCTTTCCTTTTATTTATGTATTACATTTATTGATTTTTGAATACCGTGCCATCCTTGCATCCCTAGGATGAATCCTCCTTGATCATAGTGGATGATCATTTCAATGTGTTGCTGGAAGCGGTTTGCCAATATTTTGTTGAAGATTTTAGCATCTGTATTCATCAGTGATATTAGCTTGTAGTTTTCTTCCTTGTAGTGCCAGCATTTCTCTGGTTTTAGAATTAGGATGATGGTGGCCTCATAGAGTTTAGAGTCTTCCTTCTTCTTGAATTTTTTGGATTAGTCTGAGAAGAATAGGGGTTAGCTCTTCCTTAAATATTTTAGAAAATTCTGTGAAGTCATCTGGTCCATGGTTTTTTTTGCGCCACGAGTTTTCTTATTACTGCTTCAGTTTCACTAGCTGTTACTGGTCTGTTCAGGCTTTCTGCTTCTTCTTGATTCAGTTTTGGAAGATTATATGTTTCTAGAACTTTGTCCATTTTGCCCAGATTTTCAAATTTCTTGGTATATAGTTGTTCATAGTACTTTCTTACAATCCTTTGTATTTCTATGGTATCAATTGTAATTTCTCTTCTTTCATTTATGATTTTATTTATTTGCGTCCTCTCTCTTGTTTTCTTGATTAGTCTGATTAAAAGCGTGTCGATTTTTTTTTATCTTTTCAAAGAACCAGCTCCTGCATTCATTGATCCTTTGAATTGTTCTTTTAGTCTGTGTCATTTAATTCTGCTCTGATCTTGATTAATTCCATCCTTCTACTCGCCCTGTGCTTTGTTTGTTGTTGTTCCTCCAGTTCTTGTAAGATGTAGGATTAGGTTGTTTATTTGAAATTTTTCTATTGCAGACACCCTCTGGGAGGACTGAGCCTGCAGGCCTATAGGACATTAACAGTTAGTGTGAGCTTGGCTTGCATTCTACGTACATACCACCTTGCAGAGCACCTGAGGTGGTGAGGGAAAGCAGCTCAGATTCAATCTAGCTGATTGACATGGACTACAGGTTTTGTGGATGGCTTCTAAGGTGGAGAAAGGGTATTTCACTTACTATATGGGAGTCTCAGAAAGGACTCTAAATAGAGATCAGAGACAAATTTTACTTTGCGATTTGGCTAGGACTCTTCTTACAGTCTTCACTCCGAAAATAAATCCTTTACCTCATCTTTAGGTCATTATGAAACCTATAGTTGTCTTGGATGTGGCCACCCCTCTGTCTACTCATTCTACTTGAAAAGGAAATCTAACAATTTTGACCTTAGAGTCCAGAAGATGAACCTTTTATGTACTCCTTCTAGCTTAGTTTGGGTTCATATAACTCTTATATGATGGCAGATTAGCAAGACAAATTTCCTCTGGAATATTTCTGGCAAAGGTATAGTTTTCCTTGATGCTTTCTGCACATGAATCATCTTCTTTGTAACCAATGTTCTTGTAGGAATTTTAGGAATTTTCTATATTGGTTCTCCATGTGCGCTGTGTAGCCACTGCATTTCCAAGGTGAATATACAGAGCTGCCTTACAGGGGAACTGCTGATGAGCTCAGGGTCTCTCCTGCATTGTGGTTGGCTCCATGTGCTGTCCAGTCCCTGGAGGGTGGCTTGTATAACCTTTCCCCTGTCCAGCGGTGACAGCTCTCTCAATTTCCTTACAGGTTGGCTGACTCCTTTAGCTGATGGCATGTTGAGATTCAAGGGGCAGTGGCAGCGAGAGCATCTAATCCAGAGGGGGCCACTCTAGAGGCCAGGCTACCAGTATCATGGGCCAGTGTGTCACCAAGTGCAAGAATCCCTCATCAACCCTGGGCAGCAAGAATGGAGACCGAGACCCCAGCAGCAAGTTACATAACAGGCGAGGTGCAGGCCACCGTGATGAACAGCCACCAGCTTGTGGCAAGCCAGGTGGGGATATCCTCGTCAATGGGACCAAAAAAGCAGAGGCTGCCACTGAGGCCTGCCAGCTGCCAACGTCCTCAGGAGATGCTGGGAGGGAGCCCAAGTCCAGTGGCGAAGAGTCTTCCTTGCAGAGGTTGGAAGAGCTCTTCAGGCGCTACAAGGACGAACGGGAGGATGCAATTTTGGAGGAAGGCATGGAGCGCTTTTGCAATGACCTATGTGTTGACCCCACGGAATTTCGAGTGCTGCTCTTGGCTTGGAAGTTCCAGGCTGCCACCATGTGCAAATTTACCAGGTTAGTCACAAATACTTTTCCGAGTGAGCAGAGGAGGAAAGAGAGTACCATTGGGCAGTGGTACCCAGCTAGGATAGAACTAAGCTGGCTTCAAGCGGTTTGGGTCTTTCTCTTTGTCTGTCAAATTACGCTAAAGCTATTCAGCCTCTGAATAGCTGGGCACCTGCCATCCTTGCCTGAAGTTAAATGAGGTATAATCCATGTTGAGCCCTGTTGCCAATTTGCTTCCCAACCTCACTGCTGCTTCAGACCTTTCACTCCCCTCCTTGCCAGTTCCCTCTCTTCCTCACTCGATACTTATTGTGCACCTGTCACATGCCAGGCTCTGGGAATGCCTGTAGGGTGAGTGCCTCTGTCATTGCATTTCACACAGTGCCCTAAGCTGGCCCAGTTATCTAGTAGTAGTTGGGCACATCGTCATGGTCATACATCCCTATACAGGTTGTTTGTTGGGGAGGACATGGAAGGATCACCCCAAGGTGTGGTTTGCAAAATGCTAGTTGATAAATAAGAATTTACTTGGAGTCCTGGTGGCTCAGTGGCTTGAGTGCTGGCCTGTGAACCAAAAGGTTGCCCGTTCAATTTCCAGTCAGGGCACATGCCTGGGTTGCAGGCCAGGTCCCCAGTTGGGGCATATTAGAGGCAGCCAGTTGGTGTTTCACACATTGATGATTCTCTCCCTCTCTTTCTCTCTCCCTTCCCCTCTCTCTAAAAATAAGTAAAATCGTCTTAAAAAAAAGAATTTACTTTGAGAACCCCCTCCTATAATTTCTAGCCCCTGGGTAGGTTACTCAGCGGACCTCAGAGGCCTTATATCTTTAGTGGATACTGTAATCTCTGAGATGATGATCAGTGTGAGTCCATATTGTGTGCTCAAAGTTACACAGATATTCAGAATACATACACAATTTTTGTTTTTTAATAATAGAACTTTGATCTATAGTGGCAGTTACCCAGGTTCATGCAGAGTCTTTGGCTTTAGAAATCTCCCTTGGAAGTCACCAAGAATATTCCAGAAACAACACACAGAGAATCAAAAGGAGAGCAGAAAGGGCCCCATCTGGGAGGAGAGTCTGAAGCTCAATCACTATTGCAGAATGGAAAGCAGGGCATGGAATGGGAGTTTAGCTTTGGGAAGGTGAATACATGAATGAATAGACTTATCAACTGCCTGCCATGTGTCAGGCACTATTAGAATCAGTTGACATATATTAACTAGTCTTCACCCAAACCCTGTGAAGTAATGTGGTAGTCTCAGCATTTCACAGATAAAGAAAAGAACTCTTAAGTAGAGGAGTAGGAATTCACACCCAGGCCACCCAGCCCTGGAGCCATGGTACATTCACTACACTATTGCCTCACAGGAAATGATTCTCATTTACAATTATTAATTGTGCCCCTTACTTCCTGTTGCAGGAAGGAGTTTTTTGATGGCTGCAAAGCAATAAGTGCAGACAGCATTGATGGGATCTGTGCCCGGTTCCCTAGCCTCTTAATAGAAGCCAAACAAGAGGACAAATTCAAGGATCTCTACCGGTTTACATTTCAGTTTGGCCTGGATTCTGAAGAAGGGCAGCGGTCACTGCATCGGGAAATAGCCATTGCCCTGTGGAAGCTAGTCTTTACCCAGAACAATCCTCCAGTGTTGGACCAGTGGCTAAACTTCCTAACAGAGAACCCTTCTGGGATCAAGGGCATCTCCCGGGACACTTGGAACATGTTCCTTAACTTCACTCAGGTGATTGGCCCCGACCTCAGCAACTACAGCGAAGATGAGGCCTGGCCGAGTCTCTTCGATACCTTTGTGGAGTGGGAGATGGAGCGGAGGAAAAGAGAAGGGGCTGGGGGAGGTGTGCTCAGCTCAGGGCCCTTGGGCTTGTGTCCCCAGGAGCAGACTTAGTGCTCTGTTCTGGGCAGTCACGAAGGTCTGCCCACTGCCCTGGAGCCACCCGAGGAATTGGACCTTTCTGGAAATTACCCAATATCCAGATATTTTCTACTCTACACCTTTCTCTGCCTTGTATCTGAAAGGGCTCTAAAATGCTGTATCATGTTTTAGGCACTTTCTTCTTTTTTTGGTTATTTCTTTTTGGGGGGATCCCCCAAAATATTTGAATCTGGCTACATGTTGTGTATCTATTTTTTTTTTGTTGTTGTTGTTGTTTTTTGAAGCCTTCAGATAGAATTGGCCTGCCATTTGTTGCACAAATTAATTTTTTTTTTTTTTTTTTGGTTGGGGAGGGCATAAAGCAGGGTTGGGAATGGGCCAGTGAGGTTGAATTAACATTGCGAGCAATGCAGTGCCATTTCTGTTTTGCATATTGTTTTTCAGGGCAGGTCTGTACTGTGTGTAGTGCTGTTTACATGGTTGAATTTGGGTTGTGATAATTATTTTTAAAGATTTACACAGAGTTGATTAGCAGTGTTAACTGTTAACCACATTGCATTAATTCCCAGGTGAGTAAAAGCTGTTGGAGAGCTAAGGCCAGCCGAGAGTGTCTGTAGTCTGGTGACAACCCCCTTTTAAGCTAATTTATCTGAAACCCTTCCTTCTTGCACTTCTTGCTCATTCCTTCTTTGACCCATTGCATTTCATGTTGAGTTTTTGTACCAACATGCTGCACCTGTCAGTCAAGTGAGCAGTGTTTTTAGAACATGTACTAACAACCACTTAAGTATTGAATGCAGAGAAAGCAGTGCTACCTCAGTTTTGCTGGAAGTAGACTTCGGTAGTTTTTTTTTGTTTGTTTTTGGTGAATTTTCTGTGTTTTCATGTTGTAAGTGGAAATACATTTTTTTTTTATTTGCCTCAGAGCCAAAGTTTCTGTTTCTGGTGGTCGGAAAACTGCCTGCTGGCCACCTGACTTGAAGGAAAACTGTGGTATGGAGCTCTGCTTGAGTACTTTTTTTAAAACAGTTTTTTGAGTATCATCAGCTTACTTGTCTGGCAAGTGCAAAAGCCTGGGGCTGGCCTGAACTCTGCCAAACAAATATAAACGTATTGAGTAGTTAAATGTGTGCCCTTTCCCTTTTTGCTGCACCCATGTTGTCACTTACCCCTAGGCGTTATTTATTATCTCTCTGTTAATGTCAGGCCTGTTAATATCAGGCTCATTGGGGGTAATGTGATGACTGTTTAGGTTTACATGACCCTCTTTCCTTCCCCTCCACCCAAATATGTATATATACATATATAAGATATGTATATATTTTACCTATATAAAATATATATATACATGTATATGTATCTATATTCCTGTTTCTTTGCCTGCTAAAATTGGCCATAAAAGAGGGAGCTGCCTTTAATATACAAAGTATAAGAAGAGTGCCAGGGAACATCATAATGGAGGCTTTTGAATCTGAGTTTGGATCATTTTCACTAAAGAGAAGATGAATTTTCTCAGCTTTTCCCTCACCAGAGGGAGGCCCAGTTCCCCAGACTCCTCTGCGTGCTCGCTCCACGAGGCCAGCTTTGGACAAACTGCCACACAGGAGCTGACTCTGGTCCTACCTCGTTGCAGTAGAGGGTCCTCTTGCCATTTTTTCATTTAAAAAAATCCTTAGAAAACTGTACTGGGAGGGTGGGTGGCACGTACTTGTACAGTTCAGCTTCCAACACTTTGGAACAGAGTAAAAAGGGAATCTTTTAAATAAAAACTTATAAAAATATTTATACTTTTGAGGTAACAAGAGTTTGTCTATTGAACATTTGGAGTTTCCTCCCCTAGTTAACACCCATCTCCCTCCCAGGTATGTTTCTCAGCCTGGGCAAAAATTTCTTAAGAGTTTCTTTATTACTAGCTTTATGGATTCAGGCTCCCATCTTTACAAAGATAATTCTTTAAGGAGTTTCTGCAGCTGATTTCTTTCTGAAATTGGCATTGGATATAACTGGAGTTTGAGTTTTGTAATCCTAAACCTGACAGTGGCCCCTTTGCAGGGGGGGTGCGGCGGTGGGAAACTTTAAAGTTAGCCACAGCAAGTTAGCAATACTGCTGGAAAGCCTAAGAGGGTTTGATTCAGGCCACACGTCTGGCTTTGTTCTAGCCTAAGACACAAGATACTCATATAAAGAGTTTCTAGGGACCCTAGCTAGCCCTCTGGGTTCAGTTGTAGTCGGAGTCCCCAAACTGAGTTCTCATCCAGTCTGCAACCCCGTTTTTCCCAATTCTGAATTGGGTAAAGGTTGAGTAAGGCAAAAGGCAGCTGCTTCTAGCCAGGTAAGGCTCCTTCTGTCCCCGATCAGAAAAGTATACAGAAAGAAGTGCAGAAGAGGGAGGCCCCAAGGATCCTGAGGACTCTGGAGGTACTGGATTCCATCCCCAGCCTACCAGAAGGCATTCCATACATTAGGTATAGTATAGTGGGTGGATTTTGTTGTTTTGATTAATCGTTCAGCTTCCCCAGTCCCCACAGAACCATTTAAAAATTATTTTTGGTTATTTTTAATGATATAGTTGTTATAAAAATATAAATGAAACTAGAAAAGGTAGGGACTTGCCAGTTCCTTCCAAGTTTGAGTCCCTGATGGAAGGAGTTCTGTAGTAACTCTGGACCAGTGCTTCATATTCTCATGACCACAGGAAAAGTAGTTTTTGTGCAAAGGGATCCAAGATGGGTGTGTAGGGTTTTCAGTTGTACTTCTGGGAAGTGAAAGAGCCCTGTTCCTCTAACCCTAGAAAACAGGTTTCCTACTTATCGAACGGGAATTGTGTGGGAGAGGCCTAATGAAAGCCCCTCAACTAAGCTGGGCACCTTTCACTTTAACAGTGTAACAGGGTGTGGAGGGGTAGGGTGCAGATGCCTTTTTGAAAACAGGCAAATACCCAAGGGAAGACTACAAATGGAATTCATGTGTTAGCAAATTGCTTGGTTTTGTGAGCTTCTATGGTGTTTCTTTAGCAATTTATTAGAAAACTGTATGGGATGGTGTCGCTTCATTGAACTGCTCTTCCCCATCCCTGCTATGTTTCATTCTTAACCCCACCTTCTGTAATGGCCTTTTGCTAGGCTTCAGCTGTTTGCCTCAGGAGTTCCCCCTCATCCCTGCCAGACGTGCCCATATGTGTGGATTGGTTCCAAGACTCCATACTGAGTTCTGATAAGAAAAATCTAGAGCTGAGTAGAAGATCCATATTTCAACCAAGCTCCCAGGTGCAAGGAAATCCAATTAAAAATGTACAGATATTGTTTTCAATATTAAAAGGCTTAAGCCACAAACTATTAGATGGTCTTTGAAACAGATCATCTCCCAGGGGCTGGAGCCTGCAGGGTGTGGGATGCCATGGTTCATGCGATGGCCTCATATTAGACTAAGCCAAATTGTATTTAACAGTGGTGGGAAATTACGGGGATAAGAACTTGGGTCTAAAAGTTTCAAAACCAAAACATCCATACTTAGGACTGTGTTTGGTATGCCACATTGAAAGTGAAGTCTTTTATGCAATAAATTCCCAAAATAGACCCAATTATACAATTATAGACCCAATTATACAATTATAAAGCAAGAACTGCAAGGAAGGTGCTGCTATGTTAGTTACCTGTGTTTCCTTACATCTCCATTTGCTTAGTGAGGACTTAAGCAACTTAGTAACAGACTCCAGCTGGAAGGACTCTAAAAGTCATGAAGGTGTGTTAATTGGGATTCTCTTGAGGACACAAAATTGACCCTTTTCTTACTTCATTCTGTTTTCTGAATTATATCCGGGGGATTCCCACCACCTCCCTGCAGTGTTTATTCCTAAGGGAAGCTGCAAATACAGCATATATTTAGTGGAACCTGGACTGGGACTGTGTGTCAGTGAGGATCTGCAGATATTTTCCTTATTAAAAGATGAAATAGATGCTTGAGCTCTGGTTCAGAAACAAAGATGGTTAAAAATGGCTTTGAGTAACTGTCAGGTTCTGCTTCTGATTGCAGCCTCCTTGTTCCTCTTGAAAGCTTAGCCTGCTCTCATACTGACCTATTTCCACTGCTCCCCTCCCCTCCCTACCTTTCAACACAGATCTTGGATATTGCCAAAGGAAGCCGTCCAGTAGCTTCTGTGTTCTCCCCTCTCTACCCATCCAGTGCACATTAATTCTGGTAGAAGTGTCTTCCTTCTGACCTGGTCCCAGACCCAAGCCTGTGATTGACTGCTCTTACCTGTTGCACTAATGATTATGATTCTAGTTTTCAAAGGGGGAATTTGAAGCAGTAGGCAAAGGGGGCTTGAATGAGTTGGTCTTACAAGTACCCTGCCTTAGCCTGCTGAGGTGATGGGCCCACTGCTCATGTGCCCTCCACCTTTGTGGATTCCTCTTGGTTTGTGACCAGGGTGTTTCTTGAGATTGTACAAGCTTGTTAACAGAAATCAATACTTTGTCTTCTCTGCATTGTTACACTCTCCAAATGGCCTCTTTAATATTTTTATTAACTTGTTACACATATCTTTGTCTACGTTATTTCTTTTGAATGTTCTCTTATTTGGAAGGTTACCTGCTGTTGGGTTTAATAAATCTGTTTACTTGATTATTGACAATTCTGGGGGGGGGGAAGCAATAAAAAAACAGTGGCTTTATTCTGAGGCAGGATTTACCCACTGGGAAGCTCTTCCAACATGATAATGGATAGCAAGTCCTATGCTTTGGAAAATCCAGATAGTATAGGATCCCCAGACTCTGCCACTCACCAACCTTAATTGCCTTTTAGGGTCCCAGTACTTTAGGCAGAAAGCAAACAAGTCCTCACAGGGCCACTTCCTAAATAGTCTTATCTTAGTAACTGATATGGCTTCCGGTGAGGAATAAAAAGTAAATTTGAACACTGTGCTGAATGGATGACCTCTACATATATCAGACTGGCAGTGATTAAGGCAGAGGAGACAAGCTGAAACTGTCATGTGCCACTGCTGTGTGACCATTGGCAGGTGAGTGGAAATTTGAATTTCTTTTTCTCATCTGTAAAATCCAAAGACTGTTATTTCCATCAGTGTTAGGATTTACAAAGAAAGTGTTTTTGAAGTACCTAAGACATGTAAGTTCAAGATTCTCAAAAGGATGTCAGATGAGTAATGCAGGGAATCCTGAGAATAGGGAAGGAGGGTTGGCATGGTCACACACGACTTTTCCTAGGTCACTGTCTCTCCTGTGGGCCCAGCTTCCCTCTGTGCCAAATTTGGGGGAAGATGGAAGGCTTAGACTAACAGATCCCTGATGGCTCTGTCTGGCTCTTACATAGAAGTCTCATTATGGTAGACTACTTAATGACCCCTAGCTTCCTTTCATTGTATTTTTTGTCTAGTTATTGTTTATATTCAGGGAAGCAATTGGCCAGCCACCCTACTTCTTTGATGGCAGCCCTCATGGCCTTCCCAGATTCCCAGTCTCAGGTTGGTGTCTCCTAAAAATAAGTAAGTACCATGGTGGGATTAGATATGCTTTTCTTTTTCTTTCCAGTTGGAAAGGGCCTAGAGTCATTGGCTATATCCTCTCCACCCAAGAGGGCTATAAAGATTTCTTGATGAACTGGATTTTTTTCTATTTCCTCCATTATTACCAAAGTCAGCAGCTTCAGACAGAGCAAATCTAGAAAGTGATTTTTTCTTTCTCACTTAAAAAGTAAACCTCCAGAACATGTATTTGTTTGGTTCTTGGGCTCGTGCCTTCTGTGCTGTCATCCTTCGAAGGTAATAAGCCCCCTGGGCCTTACAGGTAGAGGTGTGGGGAATAACAAAGTGAAGATACTGATTTAGGTGCTTGTATAGAGCCTAGAGTTATCCAAAGTATTGTCACAGGGTTGTGTAGATTATATATGACTGAAATCTAATTTTCAATTAGATGAGGGGCAAGCAACTTCATACAATTACCACATAAGCTTAACTGCAATGTACTTTGCCTAGCAAGAAAGATATACTGAGTGTAGTGCTGAGGGCTGAGGAGTACAGATGAGTCACCAGAGCAATGACACTCCCCTCAAATCCAGCCAAAGTACGTGCCTGGGTTGGCTCTGGAAGTGATCCTCTTGCTCTGGGTTTTGATCTACATCAGAAGGGTTAGTCTGCCTCGGAAGGAAGGGTAAGGGAGGGCACCAGGCTAACCTTTCCATTTCCTGTCCTTTGGTAAGATTTTTCAGGATGCCCTGTCTTATGAAAGCCTTATGGCATTCACCTGGGTTTAACTTCCTTCCTATGTAACGTTCGACCCTTAGGGGTTCTGAGAAAGTCGTAGTGGAATATGGCAGCAATGCTGTCAGCAGCAAAGCATCCATGCTGACGGGGGCTCTCCATGGGCCCTACCCGTGTTTATCATGAGAGGTGCTACCAAAATTGCTAGTAAACTAAAATACAGAGCTACAAAATAGTGTGGAACTAGTGTAAGACAAGACAAGAAAATACGGACCCAGGCTCTTATATACAGGAACTTATATAATAAAGGAGGCACACTCCTTTATTGGGTAAGAGAGATAATTGAGTAAAATCTAAATATTTGGGGGAAAGTTACCATAGGCCAAAATAAATTCCAGGAGGAATAAAGGTGTAAGTGTAAAAATTAAATCATTAAAAAATACATACCTGTTAGTGGTATATTACATCGATCTGTGGATCAATCAAGACTTTAAAAGCAAAAAGCAGAGAGAAGAAATCATAAAAAGAACTTCTACAACAAAAAAAAAAATTAGAAACATTTTTGTAATAATTGACAAATGGACACAACTCCTAAGACCTTAAAAATTCAATATGGAAAAGTACTTAATATCCTTTGCCCACTTTTCTATTGATAACTCACAGAAGAAAACCAATGAGCCAAAAATCTAGAAAAAATAGATGACAATCTGAAGGGTATTTAAAAACCTAGAAAGTAAACATATAATGAAAAAAATCTGGTTTATCAAATTGGCAAATATTTGAAACACCATGTTAGTAAACACAGGGTAAAAATTTTTCTGGAATTTAAAAAATTGTATTTTTGCTCTAAGCCAGTAATTTAACTTCTAGGAATTTTTCAAGGTATACTATGTGCTAAAGATGTATATGCAAGGATATAATTGACAGCATTATTTTAAGTGTCAACAGTAGGAAACTGTTAGAAATTATGGCACACATTAACATACTGGAATATTATGCAGCTATTAAAAACTCTGTTTTTGAATAATGGGAAAGTATGACAGAAAATGGTTAAATAGTGGTAGTCGCTGACTCTTGAGTGATGAGATTAGATGTGACACTATTCTGTACTTTCCAATTCTTCATTAATGAGTTTCCTTAATAAGACAAAAGGAAATGAAAACAAACATGGCAAAGTAGTCTGAACATCCCCACTGTGGGTAAAGAGGGCAAGGGCAGGGGCAGAGGCAGAGGGCTATGTTCAGAGGTGAATGGAGAGTTTTGTAAAAACCCTCAGAGCTGCTCTTCCCCCCAGCAAGAAGCTGCTTCTCCACCAATGGCCCTGGCAGCTCTGCATGGGTTGTCTAAAGGGTGTGGGAGAAAAAATGCACAAACGCACTTATGAAAGGAATGTGTGTTTTGCAAGAGGCCAGGTTGGCAGTTTTGGCTCCTAAAAGATGGGAGTGTCAGCGGAAAGAACAGTGTGTGCACACTGAGGCCTCATAGAGGCCTGTAGTCCTAGCCCATCTCTGCAGTTCTGGAGTTGAGAGCCGACGGGGGACTTCTGTCCTCACCCACCCAGTAGGAACTGGCCTTGGCTATGACTGGGAGCAAAGGGATCCCTAATCGGCTGTATGATCTTGCACATGGAAGAGAATCCTTAGTAAAATGTCGTTTATTGCCACTTAATGTAGGCTCTCCTTGATTTATGAAGTAGGTGTTAATGTCCTACTTTAAAAGTGAGGAAACAGAGGCTCAAAGAGGGAAAATAATTCACATAGCACACTGTCAATTTCAACACACTGGATCTTTGAATTTTTACAATAACCCTTGAATGTACAGATACTTTCTGATTTTATAGAGCTGAGGAAATAGAGTCAGATGAGAGTCAAGTGATTTGCCCAAGAGCAGAGCCAAAGCACCAACTCTGGGCCTGCCCATATCAAGGCAAACACTTGTCTCTAAGCTCAGCTGGGCAGGAAGGAGTCCAGTAGCACTGTTAGTTTTGGGATGTTCTCAGGCTTTGCAGGGGAGAGGTGGCAGTATACCTAGGGAACTTGCCTCTACAAGGAGCTTCAGGTTGCGGTGTCTTACCCCAAACCCAGCTCTTCAGTTCTGGCCTCTGGCCCAACTTTCACCTAAGGCCAGGTTGTTGAAAAGTCACATTTAAAGGATTAAACACTGCCCGAGTGCCCAACCTTCAGAATTTTGAGATTTTTTTTTCTAGTTATAAAAGCAATATATTCTGATCCTACACACCGAAAGGCATTTAGTAAACCTAATTTGCCAACCCCATAGCTGGAGGTAAATACTGTTTGATTCTGTTGTATACTCTACCAGCTTTTTGTCCCAAGCCCATGCATTCTCTCACATATTTTCTCCTACAAAAATGGGCTCTTTCCAAAACCTCCACGCTTCATATGCATGTACTATGAGTGCATGCTCTTATCTTCAAAACAGTCCTCTGAGATCTGTTTACCATTATCCTAAGCACAGGTATGTTATCTTATTCATGTTCATACAATTAAGTAGGAAAGCTGGGATTCAAAGTGGGGCAGTCTGGGTCCAGAGGCCTACTGCCATTTCTGGCAAATCTCTCTAGATATTTACATGTGTTCACACATTTTCTAAAATGGCTTAGAATTCTATTGTAATGACCCTGTGATACCCCCCCCCCCCCGCCATACATATTTTTATGAGACTACTCTGTTACCATAACTCTAGAAGCGGAATTGCTGGGTCCCATTCTTCACAACAATTTGTAAGGTTTTCTGGTATGATACATACTGTACACCAGATTAGTTTGTCTTTTCTGGAGGTCAGCTAATATCTGTATCAGTTTTCGAACTGTGTGTGCCTGTGCCCATGTCCTCTGTACACAGAATGTTTAACAGTTTGGGAGTTCATAAAACACAGCACAGATTTTTCCTGAGAACTGAAGCTTCCAATTCTAAGGGGACAATCTGTGGTGATGGAGGCACCTAGTGGTGAAGGGCAACACTGCAGTCTCACTGAAGGGAAGGACCACTTCTAAAAATGGACTTGGGAAGGGGCTTCCAGGGTTGGTAAAAAGCCAAGTCATCTACTCTCCGCTTTTTGGTGGACCTGCCAGGTTTTCAGCTTCGTCTTTTTCTTTCAATTCCATAATAGCTGTCAATGAGGAAACAGTTTGCCTTACAGAAATTTGCTTCACTGATACTACAACTCTGACAAACTGCAAAATGGCTGGCGCTTTTCCACAGAGAAGTTACCCCTGGTTTCCTTCCCTATGTATACCATTTACTAGGAGTGCTGCATGTACGGAGCACCTGCTGCAGTGCCTGTGCAGAAACCAACACCAAGAAAGTACAAACAAATGGGTTTCCTCCCCTCACCCTTAGATGAAGGACGCTTCAATTTTAGACGTTTATTGAAAATGTGTACATCATATAAATGGACTAGACTCTAGCTAGTCCATTCCACAAAAGCTGTCTGCTGGGTTAAGAGGGTGTAGCCCAGCCATGTTCTTTGCCTCTGCCCACGAGGCTTCAGAACTGCACCCGGGAAGTGGTGGCCAGGCTCAGGAACACATGTGAGGGATGATGCTTTCCTCTTCATCTTGTATTCCCATCAGTCCTAGGCCAGGGAGTGATCCATGCGTGCTGCAACAATGAAGCAGGAAGGCGCGTTCGTACCCACAGCATTGAGTGGTTAGAAACTTAGGCAGAGGTGGTAAGGTTTTGTTTGGGGTGGGGGAAGGATGTCATGGGGCAGTGGACTGCAAGTGAACAGCTTATGGAAAGCTCCCTGTTGAAAATGTGTTCAATGGAAAGAATACTGATAGTGCCAGAGGCCTAGAATCAAATCCTAGCTCTGCCACTTAACAGATGTGAAGTACATCTCAATCTACAGTGCAAGATCTCAAGCTGAGCCTCAGTTTTGTCAGTTCTCACATATTTAAGTTACTATCTCACAGGGCTTCTGTGGGGATTATCAGATAATCATAATTAACATGGAGGGAGCACTTACCCAATGGCCAGTGTCATTGTAAACATATTTTATGCATTCTCATAACAGCTCATGTACCTAATTTAGGTACTGACAGAGGTACAATTGCTGTGTCCATTTTTCAAATAAAATAGGCTCACAGACAACTTGCTTATTAAGTCATGTACCTTATTAAGTAACAGGTAGTAATGGCAATCTGCCATCTGAATCCTTTTAAATTGCTCTTAAGAGTTTGTTGATATATCACTTGAAGCACTATTTGAAAAACTTTACAAAACATTAACTTATTTAATAACTTACTACTGTAAAATATCTGGTACAGTGCTTAGATTTTACGAGTCATCTAATACATGTTATTTCTCGGCTGCCATGTACTGAATATTCATGGAATTGGGTTAGAGGGCTGAGGCACAAATCAGGAAAAACAAGTCCAGAAGCTGTCTCCACCAGATGCTGGACTTAAGCTAATCAGTACTAAGCCTTCTGCGTCTGGAGGACTGCAGCTCAGAGTGCTGGCATGCTCTGATGTCAGATCAACAGGTTTCAAGCACTAACTGTGCACTTGTGATCGGCATGACCTTATAGGCAAGTTACTTAATCTGAGCCTTTTTCTCCACTTGTTAAATAGGGATATTCAACAAACTCAACCAGACATGCATATCAAAGCATTTAGCATGGGACCTAAGAATTTGATAAATTATAGTAATTATCAGTATTTTCAATATTTTAGCAGGCACCGCTAAGTCAGGTCCCCAAGCATGAGGAAACCTTTCATTCTCTTTGCTGGTCCTTCCTGAGTGACTTTTCCAAGGGTGTCTGCTCGCATAGTGGAGACATAGTTTTGAGGAATGCATGCTCCTGCTGCTGGGCTTCCTCAACATGAAACAGAAACCAGAGGGTTTCCTTACTACAGGATTTGCTATTTCCAGAGTTTTCACCTGACTTACCAAACATCTAAAGACCTTTGTTTCAGTCAGAACCTAAGTCTTTTGCTCCCTGACCATGATGCTCCCTCCTTCACGGCCTCACCCCCTATAGGCTATCTTGACCACTTCCGGAAGAAAGCTTTGGCCCATTCTTGGCTGTTCACCTATACCATGGGGAACATGAAAATCAGGCTCCTATTCTAACCCTAGCTCCATACGCTGGACCTGACAAGCTAGGCCAGGGCAAGTTTGACCCTGGTCCGTGTTCTTAACCAAAACACTTTGCTGGCAACTTTGGGTCACTTTTTTTACCTCCTGCTGTTAGTCTCCCCACAAGCCTGTTTAAAGTATAGCAGTCTAAGATTTTTTTAAAAATATAAATACCTAATGCCTGTTTCTGTGTCTCAGAAACAGCAGTTCTCTCAAGCTGTCCAGCAGGTAGCCTTTCAAACCAGTGGTCCTGAGATGCATGTTAAATTTTTTAGGACAGGAAATTAATTTCTTACACAGGCTTCCAGGCTTGAGGCATTGATGTTCTGTCATCTGGGAGCTTGGGCCTGGGAATCCTTGAATGCCATAATTTTAAGGGACTTCTTAGATATAATATGATTCAGTGATTTTTCAAGCTGTGCTCAAAAGAGCCACTGCCCTGTCTTAATCTCCCTGATATCTCATTCATCCATCCTCTTACTCATTCCAACTGCTTGTCTTTATGCTTTAGGATTTAAAACTTTTTTTTTTTTTAAAGAAAGGGTTTTGTAGTTGCAAGGGTTGCAAATCACCGCTTTACTTCAAATCCCTTATTTTCCCAAAGGGAAACTGAGACCCAAAGTGGGAAAATGGCCATGGGTCAGAGGCAATAGGTGATAGAGCTGGGACTGGATGCTGAGTCCTGCTCCACTTTTCCTCAAGTTTAAAATCAGCAAAACATTCCCTATTAGAAATTAACAAGTGGCACAGGGGGAGAGAGTGGGGAAGGCAGGAACACTCCTCTCATGTGGGAAAGGTAGACTCAGTCACATCTAAGCCTGGGCATTGCCCTCGAACTTGTTGAGCAGTTTTACTCAAGTGGAGTTAGGCAGCTGCCTCTTGTCCCAGAGAAGTTGTAGGAGCTAAGACTTCTCCCTTTAAACTGGGATGAATTGTCTCCCTGAGGGACCAATAAGAATATTTACCTGTAAAATGGGAATACAATGCCTATCTCTGAGAACTGAGACTTAAGGAGATGATTCATGTAAGTCCTCATGTACATGCCTGGACATCAACAAAAGGCCTTACTCTAAGAATAGATTAATCCAGGGGCCAAAATCATGAAGGAACAACTCTTCAGTCCTTACCTCTTGGTTCCTGGCAGCGGGATGAGGCAGAGGGTACCTGAGCTCAGGCTGTGGTAGAGCTTCCCTATCTTCTGGCCCCAGTGCCAGGCTGCTATCTTTGGGTGGTCCTCCCAAAGGTCTAGGATTAAAGGCACATGTTGGCACTCAGCCAGAGTACCCTCTGCTCACCTTTGGAGGGGCTGCAACGTTCTCCGGCTCTAGAGCTGTGGGGTCCCACAAGAAGCTGTGTGTAAATCCTCAGGCTGAAGAGCTGGAATCCACACTTCAGGGCTCCCTGTCTGCCCTAGAATCCCCCAGGCCACCAAATCAGCTAATGACAGCTACTGTTCTTCCCTTCAGATGGGTCTTCCAGGTCCCCGAGCCTAGGGGAACTACAGCACTCATGAAAGCTCTAATCTAGCTTCTGCCATTAAGTAACTCTGACCTGGGGTAGTCACTCACCACCAGCTCTGGCCTCTATTTCTCATCTGCTAAGTGTAGGGGGTTAGACAAGGACACGGGTTCCCAAACTACAGCCATTCACCTTCCACCTGGACGCTTCTGCTCATGTCTCCCTCTAATGGTTTCTCTTAATAATCACTGTCCATGAAATCACACATTCAATGTGTTTGTATATTTTAATGAATGTTGATGAGAAAGCTCGTAACTGTAAAAATGAAAAAAAGTGAAAAATGACCACCAAAGATCGTCTTGTGTATGTACCACACTCTGGGAAACCCTAGATCACTAAAGACTTGTCCACCTCTACCCTCATACATCAGTCCCTCAAAGTCCCTGGAAGTGCAACCAGGAGGACAAAAAAACGATTCTAGCATGTATGCGAGAGCATGGAGAAAAAAATTATGCACTCAGGGATGGAAGAAACTGGAGAGTGAAATAAGACTAGTGCCAGGGGAGTAACAAAAGCCTGAAGGCTGAAGCATCCCTTGAGCAGGACTCCTCTAATTTCCAAAAACATCAGAAGGCCAATGGCCACACCCAGTAAACCAAGTAAACCAACTACCTTTCTCTGACTCCAGGATATACTCCTCCACTTACCTGCAAGACCTGCTGCTCTGAGGGGGGCAGCACGACTCAAAGTCCTGGGGGCCTTGATTAAGGAGATAAGCCCCTGAGCCATGTGTGGTTCAGGGGGGTTAGGGTGTGCCTGCCTTTCAGCTTCCAGTCCTTGCCTGTGAGAAGGTTGAGGGCCTTCCGGGCAGTGCCAAAAGTTTTGAATTCTGAAAGCAAGAATACCCCCTTCTGCTAACGGGCCAAAAACCCAATCTGTTCACCAGCTAGAACCCAACCAGGGTCAAGGAAAAAGGACAGAACCAGGAGCTGCTGACCTGGACTAGCCCAGGAGGCCTTACTAGGGAACACTTTTTTCTTCTGACCTCATGTTATCACCATCCCTAATAATCCCCAAGGCTACATTCAGTGATATACTTACTCAGGAAACAGTATTTTTTCTGCTTTCCACTTTTAAGATCTTTAGGCAAGATCACAGCTTCTAGGCCAAAAAAGAGGTGAGACTGCTGCAACAGATGTTCTTTTAAGGTTCTGCTCACTTCAGAGACATATATGGTACCTTGGTTCTCAGAATCTTGTTCTAGCTCCTTCACAAGGGTGTTGCAACCAAGGGTGAACTATGTCCTAGGCCTCTGTACCTAACCAAAGAAAAGATGGCGTTACTGGTGGAAAGTCACCATTTCAACCCTCAGGCTTGCTACATCCTAGCAAGTAACTTCATTCTGCAGTTTCCTCATCTGTATGAGGAGGCTAATGCTGATAGCTGCCTAAGAAGACTACGGTAGAAACTTAATAGGTAATACATAAGTGTAAATATTTTATGTAAATATACTCTTTCCTCCTTTTTCTCACCCTCACCACCTGGCAATGGAAATCAGTTCCCTGTGTTCTACCTGATGGAGTTCTGTTTACTTGCATAAGAAACTTCAAGATACCACCATTTGACCCCTGAAAGCTAAAGGAAAAGGCAACCACAAAAAAACCACCCTGAATAAATAATCTGGGATCTAAGTAGTGATAAAAACTACAAGGAAGACCCCACGTAGCCCAGGCTGATTTTGACAAAAACAAAAGCTCTCATGTCCGAGGTAACTGTAAACACAGGCTGTGCTAGGCCAGGGCTGCATGACAGTGCTGCTTTTTGCCCTCTCTGGCCACCCTGTCTTGATGCAGTTATCTTCTACCAGAGTGCTGTCCAAGGACTCGATGGCCAGCTGGGCGGCCTCCAGGACTTTGTATTGTATACAGAAATGTGGCTACAGGAAAAGCAAGATTTCCTTCCTTTGCTTTCCAGGCTCACACTGCCAGAGAAGGGGTGGGAAAGGTGGTTAAGCTACAGTGGCCAAAGCCACAGAAGAGATGTCCTTGCTGTGCTGAGGCAGACGGTGATTGAAATCAGGGTTTCAGAGATATCTGTACATCTATGTTCACAGCAACATTATTCAGAATAGCCAAAAGGTAGAAACAATTCATCGATGGATGAAAGGATAAACAAAATGTGGCATATTCATACAGTGGGATAATAGACTTGAAAAGGAATGGAATTCTGACATGTGCTTTAACACTGAAAATATACATGCTAAGTAAAATAAACCAGACACAAAAGGACAAATATTATATTAATTCACTTACATGATGTACACAGAATAGTTAAATTCATAGAAACAGAAAGTAGAATAGTGGTTACCAGGCCTAGCGGGGAGAGGACTGTGGAGCTATTCAGCAGGCACAGAGTTTCAGTTTGGGATGAGTAAGTTCTGAAGAAAATATATTTGGTAGCACTAAACTATATACTTTAAAAAATGGTTAAAAAAGCAAATTCATGTATATTTTACAAAAAAAAAAATGACTTACAGGAAGCAGTCCTTAGACATACCCTTCCCATCCTTCAGCCTTTACTGACTTCCTGCTATGATGATGAAGATGGAGTCTTCCTCATTAAGTTCTTTTAAATAGTATGATTTTTTTAAACCATACACAAGTATAATTCTTTAAAAAGTAAAAGGGTTTTATAGGGTTGTAATGCAAATAACAGAGCAATGAACAAAACTTACTCCAAGAGACTGGAGAACCATAACAGTAAAAAAAGCCCTGACATAATGTTCTTCCCATATCTTAATCCAGCTATGAGCCTTGTAGTTAAGTCCTACAGAGATTTCCCAAGACGTGGAAATTACTGCTCTTTTTGAAAGGGGCATTTTACCATTTAAAGCTGAGGTCACAAGGAGGAAGTCCATAGGCTACATTCAACCAGCAGCCATATTTTTTTGTCTGGCTCACATAATATTTAAGAAAATTGGAGCCAATCTATGAAAATGGGCAGATTTCTCAATTCTCAAAACAAAAAAATTAAGAAGCTCTGTCACTACTGAGTCGATAATCTTGTGGGTCAACAACTGAACTACTGCCCTCAGAGCATGGCTCACACTCCAGCTGGTGACAGTCAGATCACATCACTAATCTTTGTTATCTGAATGGCCCAAGCTGGCATCTAGCACTAACCTAGAAGGTAAGAATCTGAGTTTTCTTGCATCATTACCGAGTGAGTTTCAAGAACAAGGGTCATTGACCAGACTGGGCCAAAGCTCTTAAACAGCCTCTTCAGAGCCCCAAGATTGCAATTTTTGCTAAATGGCCCAGCATAGACACTTGGTATCTCTGTCCACTTGATCCTCATCTACAAGAAACAACAGAATATAGTGAGGAGGTAGATGTGGAATAAGAATTCAGTCAAATCTAAAGAAACCATAACTCAAAACATGGGATAATTCCACTTCAAGGAATTTCCCAACACAAATACCTGGCAAATTTGCAAGGATCTATATACAAGCATTATATTGCTACAGGATTATTTGGAATAGCAAACATTTATAAAGCACAAATGATGAAAACAGATTGGTCTATCATACAACAGAATACTATAAAGTCATTGAAAAAGGGAAATAAGATTCTGTACTCACATGGAAAGATGTACAAGGTATATTGTTAAATGAAAAAAATCAAGTTGCAAAACAGTATACATAGTCTGAATCCCATTTTTATAAAAGTGTATTTTCTAAAACGTTAAAATACACATATAAAATAATTGGAAAAATACAGCAAACTTCATAAAGTATGTATTACTTTCTTTAATGAGGGGAGATTATAAGTCATTAAGTAAATCACCTAGTAGAACTCTTTTCTTAAACTCTCCATTTTGTTCATCTCCTCAGTGGAGGTGAGTGAAAAGGGTTCAAAAGAGAACTGGATGATGCTGAAGGGTACTGGGGGGATTTCCCCTCTGGCCTGTTTGAGGACCTGCACAGGACAGCACAGCCTGGGTGAGGCAGAGACCTAACACTCTCTCTTGTGGCTCCCAGAGGTGAGCCACAGTACTATAAACAGTGCTTATCTTTTTACTCAAATTAAAAAGCAACTTAAGGCTGACTTCCAGGTGTAGAAAACAATGGTGACACCACGCAGCCTCCTAGAAAAACCATATAATCAGTAAAGAGGATAAATAAAATCACATATGACCCATAACTTTAGCATTACTGAGATAACCTTCAGGTTTCCTCTAAGGAAAGAAATACGTTCAATTCCAACAATGCTCCCACCATCTCACACTGCTGCAGACCTGTGAGAAAAAGAGCAAAGAGTAAAGGCTTAAGAAACTTGGAAAACCTAGAACAAGGGCAAGGAAGTCTTAGATGAAGCACAAACAAAATCACCCCCAAAAAGAAAAAGTACAAGTAATGAACACAGGTCAGGACATGACACAGGGAAGAGGCTTGGCAGCCTCAGAAGCAGTGCTTCTGGGAAGCATCAGCTATTGAGAAGAGGTAATAGCCCCTTGGAGACAATGCAGTGAAGGGAAAAAAGAAAGTAAGGGGGGAAATGAAGGATCCTGCAGAAAGATAAGTAAGACGAATGCCAACTCCTCCAAAGGGCATTAAAAACTCTTAAATCTTCCCAGCAGCACAACTTCATTCTCAGAAGAAACAACACTTTAAAAAAAGGAAAAAAGAAAAGAGTGTGACATCAGCAAGATGGTATACAAGGAAGTTTCAGGTCCTTGCTTTCCCATAGACATGGAGTTAATAATACAAAGACCAGTATACCTTTGGCAGAACTCTAGAGACCAGGTGAGAAGCTACAGCATCCAGACTGACATCAAACCAAGAAGGGATTACATCCAAAGGAATAAGAAAATTTGTGGTGGTTTGCACACCCCTCCCCCACCTGACCTAGTGCAGTAGGATCTGGAAAAAGTAAGTTCATGTTTCGATGCATCCCTTCTGTGTTACATATATAGCAATGATAGATAAAAGAGAAAACAGAAAAGATAAAGTCAGGTTAAAACCATGATAAACATCTCCAAGAACCAGAAACAACAATAATTCAAAATGGTGTGCAAGGCCAAAGCCACAGGCCTTCTGGGCTCTGGGGGCAGACATTGGCAACTGACAATTCTGCTCCTATGGGGTAACTGGGATGAAAAGTTCTCCATACAAGATATGAGACAAAGGCCAGATTTGCTAATAGTAGCCAGGGGTGCTGATAAAAAAAAAAGCCTGCCACCTGCATGAGTTGCAAAGGGCTACATTCCCCGCTGCTCTGAATGCAACTTTCAAAGAGAGCATGTCAATCAGCTTTTTATTTGAAAGGCACTTAACAGTTTGACAATTTCTGGCAGAAGAAAGTTCACTAGTACAGTCCTCCCGGGTCAATAAAAGGAGCTTCTGACCCACTGATGCCAAGCATTCTAGAATACTATAAAGAAGAGGTCAAGATAGGAACAAGTTTTCTCAAATTCCAGAGTTATTTTCTCTATACACTCACACTAATAGCAACATATAGGTGTTTAAATGAAATAAAAAGTTCCTCACTTGCACTAGTCACACATACTAGACACAAGTGTAGAACTTACTCAACAGCACACGTATAGCACATTCCCACCATTGTAGAAATCATATTGGACAATGCTGCTCTATATGTAAGGAGAAGGATGACCAATGCCCTGGCTGATGTGGTTCAGTGGGTTGAGTGCTGGCCTGTGAACCAAAAGGTCACCAGTTTGATTCCCAGTCAGGGCTCATGCCTGGGTTTTGGGCCAGGTTCCTCAGCTGGGGGTGTGCAAGAGGCAACCGATCAATGTATCTCTTGCACATTGATGTTTCTCTCCTTCTCCTTTTCCCTCCCTTTCCTTCTCTCTAAAAAGTAAATAAGGAAAATCTTTGGAGGAAAAAAAAGGATGAACAAGAAATATACTCAAAGCTCCATATCAAAGCTCAGGACAGATTCTAAGGATCTGATTTATGTATTACGGTGGAGACAAGCCTCTTGTGAGCCTGAGTTTTGTTTTCCCTCCATGCTAAATACATCAAGGCTGTAAAAGACTTTCAAAGACTTCTGTCTTCTAATCCAGACATGCACCTAGTCATCATCTCCCCTGAAGCTACTTTGTTAAATTTATTTCAATGTCTTCCTTTGTTACAAAGGAAGTCATTTAAAGACCAGAAGGTGCTATTTTCCCCTGCATGATTTTGTAATGGAAGAATGTTACACTATTGGTAGACATTCTCAACAGACCCAAAGGAGAAAAAAAAAACTCCCAGGTACTCCATCTGTCTTTTCTCCTATTTGGAAATGAAAAGTATTACCTTGTGCTTGGCTGCTGAACTGCTCCTTCTGCACTGCTCAGCTCCTGGTCTGCCGTTTGCAGCATTTGGTGACTAGCTAGTGCCTCCAGATTTAGTTCTGCAATCTTGAAGAAAATAAAATGGTAAAAATCATCTAATTTCTTGAAGAGCATCTGAGGTTAAAAATGAAATCCCCCAAAAATCCACTGAAGTGGTGTTCCCTGCTTCTGTAGACAGTGGCTTTGCCATTGCCATAGTCCCAAGCTAGTTATCAGGTGGTTTCTGATGGCTTATACAGAATGGCAATCTGTTACCAGCTGTTGCTGTTGCCACATGAATGGGAACCAGCCAAGTTGGTCTAAGGGATGGCAGTTTTGGCTCATCATTCATTCCAGTCACTTAAAATTTACTCTTCTGCAAACATGCAATGTTTGGAAATGATAAAAGAATGACTTCTGCAGCAACATTAAAAAAAAGACTTTTTACTGGTTTATTACAAAACCATAAAGTCTATTCTAGTTTATTCTGCTTTCATACAGTGGGAGACAACTTGGGAGTTGTAATGTAGAGAATGAGATACAAACGTTTTATTTAGAATTGTATTAGATGAATAGAAAAATTACAGATAGTACAGGCTTTCCATTTTCAACTATGATTAGTATCTTAGATTAATATACTGCATTTGACAATTAATGAACTACTATTGATATGTTATTATTAACTAAGGTCAGATTAATTCAGGTTTCTTTAGGTTTTACCCCAGTGAGATACAATTTTTACTGGAATCAAGTGACAGCATACTAGAACAGAGTGGTTCTCAGAGTGTGGTTTGAGAACTGGGGGCTCCAGAGACCCTTTCAGAAGTTCATGAAGTCCTCCTTCCCTTCTGCAACTACACAACACAACAAACTCACTCATTTCCTATTAAACTATACATGGAGGAGTTTTGCAAAATATGTGAAATAATGATACTTTTCATACTAGTGTTTTTGAAAATGCTTTTTTTCTCAGAAAATTTTTTGCGTTGATATAACTTTTTTGATATTTTAAACAAATTAATAAATATTAAGACTATTTTTCCTCATATTTAATTTCTAAATGGTAAATATTGATAGATGTGGTCCACATAAAAGACTTCTGAGGGTAAGGAAGTCCTGAGGCCAGAAAGTTTAGAATCTCTGATGTGGTTTAGAGCAGTGGCTGGCATATTCTGGTCATTGTGTCAAGTTCAGCCCAATGCCTGCTTTTTGATAAAAGTTTTATTGGAACACAGCTATGCCCATTCATTGACATAAGTTGACTGACTATGATACAGTATGGCCTATATGTAAAGCCTAAAATATTTACTATCTGACCTTTATAGAAAGTTTGCTAACCTCTAATGTAGAGCAAAGACAGTTTGCACCCTGGCTCCACCTCTGATAAGGTGTGGCACCCTAGATAAGTTATCTAGCCTTTCAAAACCCTGGAATGCTCATATATAAAACTGAGATGATGATAATAGTTAACTCATCAGGCTGCAGTACAGGTAAGATCATGAATGCAAAGCATTTTAGAACAGTATGCTTAGTAAGATCTTAGTGAATAGTGGCTATTGTTATTAACATGCCCAATAGATACTTTAGAATGTCTTTGTATAGCCATGACACAAAACACTCTTCTGGCTGTTTATTATCCTACGTGGATTACAATTTATTTCATCATGGAATCACAAACAGAAGCTATCATGCAATGGGACAGTCTAATAGATTAAAACGAGTTACAACAAGGTCAACTAGAAAACTATGTCCTCTTCAAATGTCTCCTTTGTGTGCTGCTCTAATCTACACCCACTGCACTGCTGCCAAAACAAAGGTATGTTCTCCCTACCCAGCTCAAGAAAGCAAAAATCTACATAGATTTTTATATTTATTATAATTATTAGCATCGGCTACAATGACCATAAACATTATGACATAGTATTCAAGGCACTGTGCTAAGAGCTTTTATGCACAGTATCTCATTTACCCTCACCAATGTCCCAGAGAAGTGTGATCCCATTTTACAGACCTAGAAACCGAAGTTGTTCAGAGAGATTGACCTAGATCACATAGGCGGGCACAGTAGTCTATATTTAAAAACAGACTTCAGAGACTACATACTTCACCACTATATTACGCTAGCAATACAGGTCTTCATTCCACATACACGCTCAGCTTGAATTACACTCCTGTTTTTGTAAAGAAAGGTAACAACAGGAGATGGCGGTCCATGATTCATAATTCTAGTCCCATAATTTTAAGAGAAGCCAACACACATGTCAAAGATTCTAACCTTTTTTGGGCCATACTTAAGGAAATACTGAACCAATTCAAGGTTTGTTCAAGCATCTTCTGTGGCATCATGACCAAGTCTATCTAGACTCTGTAATATCCTTCCTGAAAAATCATCGTAAAATTGACATACCTGGGAGTATTTTCTAATGACAGGTTCTTCCAACCACCTTAAATATTCTGGTTACATGTAAAATTTTTGCATTTTGATAATCAGGTTTGTATCACAGCAATCAAGATTTCTTTATTCCTAAGTGCCAGGACCTGAGAGAGGTACTGAGGATGCAGAATGATCAGGAATGACTTTGTCCACATCATATCTTCTAGACAAAGGGCTACCTAATAAAAAATCTCTTACCCACTCTCTGCTCCTTTTATCTCATTTCTTAGATGTAACCATTATTCAAAGTTACATTCCAGAAATTTTCTATTTGTATACAAGTGTCTATATGTACTTAAATTCTTTATTTTTTTAAAAACCTTAAAAATACATGTTTATGTTGAGAGAGAGATGTGTGTGTGTGTGTGTGTGTGTGTGTAAATCTAATCTACATCATATCACTGTCTAGGCATCTATAGATCTTGTTCTGATTTCCATTTTTATTCTCAGTAGTATCTGAGAGATTTCCCTATTAGCACATACAGATTCTGCACATTGTTTTCAACAATAACAAAGTAACACAGATAACCGTAATTTATTCAACCAGTCCTATGGAATAGTTGCAATTTTGGGAGCTATTTACTATACTATAATGAACATGTTTGAAAGTAACTGGATATATTCAATATAGGAATGTCATGTCCTGAAATTTTAGTTAATTTTTATGCTCCTTAGTGTCCAGATCTACTCATCAACCCACAGCTGTGCATATAAAACCCTTCTTGTATTCCCACAATTTTTTCTATTTCTGTGTCATACTCCTTTGAAGAGTTAGGGTCCCAGGAATCATAAGAAATAAAAAGAATAATGTTTACAAACTAAGAAGGAAAACTTAAGACCCCAAATTTTCCAATACAGATTAAGTAAGATACTATATATTAACTTAAGTGCAATTTTGTCAGGACAGTATTATAATGTGCAAACACCTACCCCAAAATAGCTGTGGCTAAGAACTTTAGCTTAAATCTTCTGCCCTGCTCTCTGACATAAAGCAATGATGTATCAATAACATATGGACGTATCATCTGAGGAGGAAAGAGAATAGAATGAGTAGCATCCCATGCTAAAGGAAAAAACAAGTGGGCTGAGGGAAGAAGAGCCCAAGGCTTCATATTTGAGATAAATGGAATATGCATATATACTAGAAATACTAAGTTCTACATCAGTGGGACTCACTTTTAGTGCTTTGAGATCCAAGCCTAAGGAGTGGTGCACTAACACAGCATTAGGAGGAAGCAGTGCTTTTAACTGTCTCTGGACATCTCTGAGTTTGGTTGTTACTGGGTTCAGCATCTTCTTTGTGATTGCTGAGAAACTTTCAATAAAAAAAAAGAAATGGCCAGAATATTAACAAGTTTTCCTCTATGAAAAGCCATTTCAAAAGAATATCTTCTAAACAATTAACATGCTCAGCATAGGAAGGCTGGAAATACAAAGCAAAAAGGAAATTAAAAATTACCCACAACCCTACAACATCGAGATCATCACTTTTTACATTTTGGTAAACATCTTTTCCTATTCCCTATTATATTCATTTATATATTTCTTTATTTTAAGAATGTAATCATAATGCATAAGCTACTTTATGGCCCTGGTAGGTAGTTCAGTTGGTTAAAGCATCTACCAAGCACCAAGGTTGAAAATTTGATCACGGTTGTCAGGGCACGTATAAGAATCAACCAATGAATGCATGAATAAGCAGAACAACAAATTGATGTTTCTCTGTTTCTCTCTCTCTAAAATTCATTAAAATACATACATACATACATACCCTGGCTGGGTAGCTCAGTTGGTTAGAGCATTGTTCCAATAAGACAAAGTTGTGGGTTCACTCCCCGGTCAGGGTACAATAAAAAATAAATTAATTCATTAATTAATACATGTGCTACTTTGTAACATGACTTTATCATCTGCCATATATCATGAACACGTTTTCATATCAACAAATCTATTCCAGCACATTCTTTTAAAAGGTTATGGATATTTACATATTTTAACCAGTCCCCTACTTTGCAGATATTTATATTCCTTAATTTTGCAATGCTGTGACAAACACACACATACATCTTTAACTAGTCCCTAAGAATACTGTCTAATTATGTCCGCTAACAGGATAGTCTTTTTTTAAAATTATTTTTAATTTTTTGAAAGATTTTATCAAATTTTTATTTTACTACTCTCCCATTTTTTAATATATTTTATTGATTATGCTATTACAGCTGTCCCATTTTTTTCTCCCCTTTACTCCCCTCCTCCCTGTACCCCCCATTCTACCAGCATTTCCCACCCTTAGTTCATGTCCATGGGTCCTACATAAAAGTTCTTTGGCTTCTCCATTTCTTATAATCTTCTTAACCTGCCCTTGTCTATTTTGTACCTACCAATTATGCTTCTTATTCCATGTACCTTCTCCTTAATTCTCCCCTCTCCCTACTGTTAATCCTCCAAGTGATTTCCATTTCTGTGATTCTGTTCCTGTGCTAGTTGTTTGCTTTTTGTTTTTGTTTTTTAGGTTCAGTTGTTGATAGTTGTTTGTTGTCGTTTTACTGTTCATAGTTTTGCTCTTCTTTTTCTTAGAAGTCCCTTTCACATTTCATATAGTTAAGGGCTTGGTGATGACGAACTCCTTTAGCTTTACTTATCTAGGAAGCACTTTATCTGCCCTTCCATTCTAAATAATAGCTTTGCTGGAGAGAGTAATCTTGGATGTAGGTCCTTGCCTTTCATGCCTTTGAATACTTGCCAGCCCCTTCTTGCCTGTAAAGTTTCTTTTGAAAAATCAGCTGATAGCCTTATGGGAACTCCTTTGTAGGTAACTGTTTCCTTTTCTCTTGCTGCTTTTAAGATTCTCTCCTTATCTTTAATCTTGGGGAATGTAATTATGATATTTCTTGATGTGTTCCTCCTCGGGTCCAATTTCTTTTGGACTCTCTGAACTTCCTGACTTCCTCGAAGTCTATAACCTTCGCCAGATGGGGGAATTTTTCCTTCATTATTTGTTCAAATACGTTTTCAATTTCTTGCTCTTCCTCTTCTCCTTCTGGCACCCCTATGATTTGGATGTTGGAACTTTTAAAGTTGTCCCGGAGTTCTTACTTAAGCCTCTCCTCATTTTTTTTGAATTCTTGTTTCTTCATTCTGTTCTGGCTGCATGCTTATTTCTTCCTTCTGCTCCAAATTGTTGATCTGAGTCCCAGTTTCCCTTCCTTTACTGTTGGTTCCCTGTATATTTTTCTTTATTTCACTTTGTATAGCCTTCGTTGTTTCCTTTATTTTGCATCTGTACTCAATCATTTCTATGAGCATCCTGATTACCAGTGTTTTGAACTCTGCATCTGATATGTTGGTTAGCTCCTCATCACTTTGTTCCTTTTCTGGAGTTTTGATCTGTTCTTTCATTTGGGCCATATTTCTTTGTCTCAGTGCCCCTATTACGTTGTAAGAGGAGGGGCCTTAGGTATTCACCAGGGTGAGCAACCCACTTTGCTGCATTGTGGGGCTGTATGTGAAAGACGGTCAGAGAGGGAACAATGTCACCTGTACGGCTCTTGGCCAGCTTTCAGTCACTTGCCCCATTACCCACAAGCAAATTGGGCCCTTCTGGTGCTGATTCCCGGGTCGGTGGTCTTGTGTATGTTTTAGGACCCCGTGTGTCTCTCCAACAAACTCTCCTGTGAGGCTGGGAATTTCTCCCATCAATGCAACCCCACAGGTTTTTACAGCCAGAAGTTTTGAGGCTTTAATTTCCTGCACTGGAACCCTGGGTTGCATGTTCTGTCTCGCTCCCCAGTTGTTCCTCTCAGCTTATCCACACTCACTGTGGAACCACCCCAGTTGCCTGTTTCCACCCCCTCCCCAACCAGTCTGGATGAATGTTCCTTCTTTAACTCCTTGGTTGTCAGACTTCCATACAGTTCACTTTTCTGGCAGTTCTGGTGGTTTTTTGTTTTTAAAACTTGTCCTTCTTTTGGCTGTGCAAGGAAGCAAAGTGTATCTACCTATGCCACCATCTGGGCCAGAAGCCTCTCCCTCCCTCTTTTCTAGAAATCTTTTATTTATTAAATTTTTAGAGAGAAGGGAAGGGTGGGAGGAAGGAGAGAAACATCCATGTATGAGAAAAACACTGATGAAACATTGATGAAAAACTAGAGTTGCCTCTCATACGTGCCCTAGCTGGGGACCAGACCTGCCAACCAGGCATGTGCCCTGACTAGGAATTGAACCACTGACCTTTTGCTTTGTGGGACAGCACCCAACCAACTGAGCCACACCAGTCAGGGATGACTGATTTTTAGAGAGAAAGGGAGACAGAGAAATATTGATTTGTTTTTCTACTTATTTGTCCATTCATTTACTTATTCTTGTATGTGCCCTGACTGCGGGTAGAACCTGCAATGCTGGGGCACTGGGACAACATTCCAACCAGATAAACTCCTGGGACAGGTCCTAGAACAGTCTTTATCATTCTGATGGCCTCTCAGTGCCTAAGCAAGCATGAATCTATAGCAACCTCAACAGGCACAAACAGTAATGTTTCACTGGCTTTTCTATGCCTAATCACTGCAGTGTGTACATCTGGAATTATATGCTAATCTCTAGAAACACAGGCAAATTTTTGAGCTTCAGAATTGTTATGAAAAAACTAAATTTTATTTGGTTTTTGAGGTCAGGGTACTCTAACCTTTAAGATTATTCAACTGCCCAACGATTGACAGATTTTACAGATGAGGTCTTACTGGAAAGCAAAGCTCCACCTGTTTGACAGTTGCTAGATAATTATTATAATTGGGAGACTCTATGACAAGGAAGTAGTAACCTGTTGACAGAAGGAAGATTAGAGAGCAAGAAGGATAACAGCATTAAACACTGGCACTGTGCAATTTCAGTATTAAAATTTACAGTTGTGGTGTCCTAGCCTTTTCTTTTACAATATGCAAGTAGGTCATACCTAACTAAACAAAAGCTACAGGCCATTCCTGTGAAGTCTCATTCCACTCTAGCCTGACAGTCCTAGGGAGAGCTAAAGGCAAGGTGAAAAATACCTGGTGAGGTAGTCCAAAATCTTTTTGTCAGGTTTAATTATTTATCCATAACACAGCCACCTCCTTCAGCAACAAGTGAGATGCGTGTTAGTTCTCTCCCCTTAGATGTGGGCCACTGAAAGACCAGGATATAGTCAAGCTGCTCTATTGTGGGACTGTGACACAGCCTGTTATTGAGACTATTTCAACTGCCATCTACCCTCATCTGCTGGGGTCCCTGTGACAATGGCACAGCCTTCTGATGATCTGAGGATCCATTATGAGTGAAATTATTGCTAGGCAGGCTGTTGAACATTATACTCTGGGAAGGGTGTGCTTAAGGGACATGAATGGAAATAGTAACATCAATCATAATTATATCATTTATGGAATGTACACTATATCCCTGTATTCTGCTAAGTACCACTAATCAGTTAGTCTTTTTACCACACTCTATTATCATCTAATGTAGTACTAAGCCAATTATATACACCACCTCCTAATAATAACCCTTTGTGGTAGCCTCAATTATCATCTCCACTCCATAGAGGGAAAAGCTGAGGCTGAGGGGGGATAGGGAATTTGTCCAAGATGACACAGCCAACTAACAGGCAAGGCTGGGGTATACACCATGATATAACAGACTCTAAAACTTTAGCTCTTAGCTACTCTTGTTAAGAATTGAGAAACTGTCACCTAAGCACTAAGTGAGAGGGGATGCACTGTCTTTGAAGGGGGACTTAATAATTAGACAAAGTAAAACACAAAGAGCTTAAGCAGGAAAATCCTACTTAAGATCTTAAATGTGCAAAATTAAGCCTAACTGATGGTAACTGAGGCAGTCTTCAAGACAATAACAAAATACTTGTTCAAAAGACAGGAATAATGTACAAAGGTTTCGTTAAACATAACAACTAGAAAAAACTTATGTATTACTGCTTCATCCTGGAGCATAGATCTGTTTTCTAAAATGTGAGTAAAAGGGTCTACTTTTAGTTATTTAAAATGAATACTGGAACTGAATGCACTGGTTTACTGGTGCATTAGACTCAAGACATCATCTACTAGACCCTAGTTTGCAATACTCCAGTTGACAAAGTAGTACTTAGCATTTCACGGTCACATTCAAGAGGACTTTTGCCTGTTACAGAACCATTACATTTGGTAGGTATAACGTTTTCACCCTATGGAAAACCTAGTATAAAAGGGAATAAAAATATTTGCCTTTAGAGGCAGAAATGGTAAACATCATTAGATTCACCCTGGAAAAAGTTAAATAATGCATTTGCTGGGCACCTTCTTTAAGTGAGACATTTGAAATATAAAGATTAAGTAACAGATAATCTGTCCTCAAGTTTTTCTCCATCCACTCACTTTTAGATTCTGAGAGGATAATGTACACTAATGTTATTGGAAAGACTAGGGCCTGGACTTCCTGACAGTTACCAAGTAACATTTTTTCCTATTAGAAAAGAGATTATAACTAAATTGTGGCTGAATCCAAATTCACTAGACCTTTTCCAAGTAGGTACTAAGGGAGGATGAATGAAGTATGTAAAAGACTGGATGTGGCATTTTTCTGCCCTCAACAAAGCAAGAAAAAATAAGGATGACATTCCACCATAGCAGAGAGCTAAAAAAGGATTTCACTGTAAACACAAGATTTATGCAATATTCACCATTGCACCCCCACACCCAACTCTTCCCTGGAGATTTCTCAAGAGATCTCTGTCCAGAAATGTGCCTCCCTCTTCTGGAATCATAGCCTGGAAAATCCTACAGAAGTTCAGCTATAGGCCTAGGGTACCCTCTGTCAGGTACCCTAATCAATAACTAGGCATATTTAGCTCAGAGGCCCCAAAACATTGAGATAATTGAAAATTCCTACCTTCAGACAGAAGCTAAAACAGTAAAAGTCATATACCTAGATCTTTTTAGACTAGAAGCAAAAGGAGAATTTGAAAAGTTTTGAGCAGTTTCTATGTCACAGTACCATGAAACTTCTAACTGATTATAATTAAAATAATCAAAATATGATCTAGATCAGAAAAGAGAGGTATCCCCAAATCTGGGAGACATTACACTTGCTACCCTTCTCACCTATATTACCAGTGGCAATAATAAGAAAAAACAAAACAAAAATAACATTTTCAGAAAACTCTGTGCTAGGAACCATGCTAGACACTTTTGTACATTAATTCATTTAATCCTCATGACAAGCCTATGATATATAAACCATTTCACAAATAGCTTTTTCATTTAAATAAATTTATTTTAGAAGAAAATTTGTTTTCAGGATATATAAAGAAATCAATCATAAAAATACAGCCCAATTTACAAATGGCCAATAAGCGTAGGAAAAGGAAAGGTGCTCAACATCATCAGCCATCAGAAGAATGCAAATCAAAATCATAATGAGCTACCACTTTACACGCACTGAGGGGTATAATAAAAAAGACAAAGAATAATAAATTTTGGTAAGGATATGCAGAAATTGGAACCCTCATTCATTGCTGGAAGGAATGTAAATGATGCAGCTGCTTTGGAAAATAGTCTGGTAGTTCCTCAAAAGGTTAAATACAGAGTTACCCAAAGAACCAGCAATTCCACTCCTAGGTATACATACCCAAGAAAAATAAAAACATATCCAAACAAAAACGTGTATCTGAATGTTCACAGCAGTATTACTCATAAAAGCTAAAAAGTGGAAACAACCCAAATGTCCATCAACTGATCAATAAATAAAATGTGAAATACTCATGCACAGAATAATTAGAATGAAAATAAATGAAGTATTCATATATGCCACAACACTGATGAACCTTGAAAACTTTAAGCTAAAGGAAAGAAGCCAGTCACTAAAGACCACGATTCCATTTATATGAAATATTAACAGCAGGTAAATCTAGGACCAGAGCTAAGGGCATTGTGGGAGAAACAACAGAATGGGGTGTCTCTGGTGGTGATATACATGTCCTAAAATTGATGGTGGTGATGGCTATAAAACTGTAAAAATACAATAAAAACTATTGAACTGTATACTTTATTTACTTATTTATTTGAACTGTATATTTTGAGTGAATTGTATGGTATAGAAAGGTTACTTATATTTATTAAGTAGGTTACTTATATTTAAAAGAGCTGTTTTTTTAATAGAGAAAAAATGGAAATTCAACATCACTGCTGTGATTAAAAGAGAAGAAAATCAAATCAAATCAAATTGTTTTTTATTAAATTCTTGCTATGTAACTGACCAAGGCTGAGCCCAGGCATGCTCTATTCACTGAAGAAAATGGAGGTGAGGTGTGGTGGCAGGAGGGTTAGAAGTGTTAAAAACATACTGACTTTTTAACATACTAAGAAGAAATGAAAGAAAACCAGAAAAGGAATAACTTTCTCATTACATATTTCAATGCTATTTAAGGTCACATTCATGCACTCCCTCAAACCATCACTTTGCCAACCATCGTACACATCATACACTTTAGGAAACATTGCACTTAGAGTAATTCCCCATTAACAGAAGATGGAGTAAGTCACTTGGATCTTTCAACAGTAGTATTTTTAAATAAACAGCTAGATATGCTTACTTTGTTACCAATGTCAGATTAAATGCAAACCCACTTTGCAATGGAAAGTGAAACACTTCCATCTCTTCCTTAGTGAGCACATGCCATGTCAAGCCCACCTTCTTAGAGCCATACTTCTGAATGATAGGGTCATTCTGTAGGTGGATGCTGGCTTTTGAACTGGCACAAGGTAAAGACCCCGAACAAGAAAGACAACTGCATGTATTTCATTCAATTTGTGTTTAAGAGACCTTAAAGGAGATGGCTCTTAATATTGCAAAGGGTAAGATGGTAATAACCAAAAGATGTGTAAGGCCCAACCCCAACTTTTAAGAAGCTTTCACACTAATACAGTTATAGGAACACAAAGAGTTCCTAACAGTCTATAATAATACGGGCTATGAAAGGAAAAGGAAGAGAATACATTGGTTGGGGTGGTCAGAGATAGCTCAAGAGAATAAAAGATTAGTTGGGTCTTGAAGGCAGAATTCAGGTAACTGGTATATTAGACCAATCTGTTACAGTGCCTGCCACTCCTAACTACCCATTCTAGCTAAATCTACTCCATCCCTAGCCACTTGATAAAGCAACAGCCTAGCTTAGGAGGGACCCATCCATACTTTTGACATTGACATACTTGACATTGGTCATACTGACCAGACTTGCTATTCCTTGTCAAGACATGTTCAAAAGCAACAGTGGTAATCAGCTAGGCCAATCAGATTGGTGGCTTCCACAATTGAACCAGGAAATACAGAAAACTGACCAATTAGAAGAGAACAGAAAACAAAGAAAATGCTATGAAAGAGAGAGTAGCAGCTCTGCAGTAAAGGCACTCAAGATTCCTGATGGCTTTCTAGTCCACACTTTCAAATCATATCCCTTTCACTAAAGGTGGCCTGAATGAGTTTCTGGTCCTTGCAACCAAAAAAGCCAATCTCATAAGTAGAAAGAAGGCATTCCAGGCAAGACAGAATTGTAAAATGCAAAGTGGGTATGGCAGTGACTAGACCAGATGGGGAGAAAACAAGAGGTATGTGTAGAAAAGCAGCACAGGTAACAAGTCTGAGAAGAGGCTAGGAGTAAACTGTACACCAATGTGAATGTCTGGCTCAAGAGCTTAGGCTTTAGTCAATCATTTCATACAAAGTGGGGAGCAGAACAAAGTTCCTGAGAAGGAAAGTAGCATACCCAAATCATATTTTCAGAAAGATACACTTACAGGTACATAGGAGATGGAGCAAAGAGAGGATGGTCAGGAGGAGGAAGGAAAAGGACTGTATAAAAAAGAACAGGACACAGAAAAACTATTAGAGCACAATGACAGCTCAATTCAGTCAATGAAAAATACTGAGTACTTAACATGCCTGACATTGTCCTAGCCTCTAGAGATTCCCCAGTAACCAAAATCAACAAAATTCTCCATGGAACTTCAGTTTTACTTGAGAAGATGAACAATAGACAAATAACATAAAACAAGAGGTGAAGATAAAGACCATGGAAAAAAGTAAAGGAGATAAAGGAGAGGGAGCCCTGGGCCAGGAAAAGAATCACTGTTGTATTATAATGATCATGGTAGGTCTCTCTTATAAGGTGGTATCTGTACAGAGATTCATAGGAGCAAAGGGAATGAGCCATGAAGCCTGGGTATGGGGAACTAAAATAAAATTCTTAAATTCAAGACTAGTGTCCTCTTTTCTGTTGGTACCATTTTGGGATTTGAAGATGGAAGCCTGTTATTGAGGGATAAGAAAAATGCTTTTAGCTATGTTATAATAGAAGGGACAGTGGAACATCCAAGGAGCAGCATCCAGCAGGTCACTGAAATGCAGGTCTGGAATATGAGACATCAAGCCTAGAGATAAATATATCCATTGAAAAGTAATAGGTAAACTTGGAAAGAATAAATGAAGATTCCAAAGGAAAGGCTGAGTGCAAGGAAGATCAAGAGTGCTAAACTATACCTTGGGAACTTTGATATTTAGGATGGGAAAACAAAGCAAAATCTTTTTTTTTAAGGATTTTATATCCTTTATTTATTTTTAGAGAGAGGGGAGGGGAGGGAGAGAGGGAGAGAAATACCAATGTGTGGTTGTCTCTTGCACACCCCGCACTGGGGACCTGGCCTGCAACCCAGGTATGTATCCTGACTGGGAATCGAACCGGCGACCCTTTGGTTCACAAGCTGGCGCTCAATCTACTGAGCCACACCAGCCAGGGCACAAAGAAAAATCTTCAAGGGGACAGAGAAGTGGCCATAATCCTCTGACTCTTCAATGCCTACAGAGTAAACTCTGAAATCCTTCGCATGGCGTTTACTGCCTGCAGAACAAAGTTTTAACCTACCTCTCAAGCTTCATCTCTCACCATTCCCTCCTCTTATTCCATCTCCAGTCCCATTCAATCGTCCCAAAATTCTGTATTCTTCAGTTATATCAAATTTCTTTTTCCTAATTATATCTTTTGTTTGTAAGTCAACATTTTTACATGAGCTTTGAATCTTGTAATGACTACTTTGTGATTTACCATAACATGCACTTTGTTGCCCAAATTTTTGAGGGGAAAATAGAGTGCGCATTATATCTGGGCAGTGCTAAAATGTGGGCACATATTATACACAGGACTACATTATATATGGCAATATTCAGTACTCAAAAATTTTTATAATACAATTCAGGTTAAATGAAACACAGCTGTAACTCAGATTTGAGCTTCTGCTAGAGAGGAGAATATTGGAAGTGTAGTAAATTAGATGCCTTTGAGACAGAGGATAATAGGAAGCGCAGTCCTGGAGGAGATGGGAAGGAATCACTGGTTATTTCTCACCCCTCTTCCATGTCCCTCGAGTGAAACAAAAAAGGCATCACTGAACAATACTTTATGTATAATGAACTCTGATAACTTCTATTCTCTTCTTCTATTCTATTCTATTCTAATCACTCACCTCCTTTCCTCCCCAAAACAGGTTAGCTATACTTTGCTCATAGAACACAACGCACAGATTGAAAAACACTGCTATCATGGATATTTTATCTTTTAGCTGACCAGCAGCTGAAGCTCCTGCTTATTCCCCACTGTGAGTAGTAGCAGCAGATGTCCCTTCTATCAGTCAAAGGTAAGATCCCCCTTCTCATCTGTACATGTTAGTACAATGTACATAAGCCCAGTGACAGTTTAAAAATTATTCACAGTAATCCACAAGAATCCAGTGACAGAGATATCCAGGGGAATCCTTAGCTATATAACATAACCAAGTGGTTCTAAAGCATTAAATCCTAGCTAAGATTTTTGCAGTCTAATCTCCCTGGATACTTACTCATTTTTTTCCTCTAAAAAAATAATTTCTGCTTAAGTTAGTTAGAACAGAATTTTGTTGCTTGCAAGAATAAAAATGACTGATAAACCTACTTACAAGTATATACCTAATACCTTTCAGAATGAGTAAATCATCAAACCAGACTCACTGCCATACCTTTGATTATCTTGGGCAGATACTCATTTGTTTGTTTCTTTTGCAGTCCAATGATACCAGCTAGAAAATCAGATGACGGAGAAGGCAAGCAGGATTTCTGCCAGTACATAACAGGTTTTTGTTGTTGTTTTTCAAAAATGCTTGAAAGCAGTTAAAATACTGTTAAAGACCTGGACTTTCATTTCATTGTTGCCTCAGTGCTATAGAAGGCCTGGATCATAATCACTTAGACTGTAAAATGAGAACTGTTTCCTTAATGTGTAAAAGAGACTAAGTAGGTGAAGCCACATTTATCCCACCCTAGAAATTCTCTTTGCTTCTTCAATTATACATTGTAAGTAATGTAATGTATACATTACAGAAATGTGTAACTTAGAAAAGTCTCATATTTTTCAAAGCACTCCCAAGTCTGTTACTTCAGCAGACATCATGCCAGGTAGGTTAGAACAGATGACAACAAAGAAAAGCAGTTGAGAGCTCCAGCCTTAGGCTCACCTGAGCTTAAATTCCAGCTTCACCACTTGTTACACTTTGGACAAGTCATCACTCAGTTTCCCTATGTATAAAATGGGAGTAAAAGTATCTATCTCTGAGGACCATTGAGAGAATTAAAGATGATATACACAACATGATTAATGTAGGGCCTAACACATGTATTTAATAAATGAAAGCACAAAAGAAAATGGAGACCCAAGGAGATTAAATTAGGACTCACCAACTCAAATACACTCAGGGGTGAATGGATGAAACAGCCCAAAAGAAACTGGTGGAGGCTATGGAAGAAAGGAGAGCACATATCTCTTCTAAGAATGACAGCTGCTATTCAGCTCCAAATACTTTCTAAGGGGGCTCAAGAGAGGCTGAAAAACAGAGCTTATGTAAATTTTCAATTCATAAAAACACCATAGCCCAAATTACACAAAACAAAATGAATATGAGAACTATAGACTGCAATCTGGGAATAACTGTTTTGCCTACATTACCAAAGAAAATCAAAGATAAAAGCAATTTCACCATGAGAGCTCTGCATCTTAGGCATTTCTCTTTCTACAACTCCTATCACTTTTTCAACCAGGTCAACGGAGAGCTCAGTTTGGGACATGTGTACTAATTTCTGAGTGGGATGACTTGATTCAGGCTCCAGTATAAAGTTTTCTTAACTTACATGCCTGAATGTCTTTCAGAGAAATCCAAACTCTAAATAGAACCTGTAAAAGTGTAAGCTGACTCATTCCCTGAAGTACAAAAACCATAATGTTGTTCAGGTGGTTTTGGTGAAAAAGCTGGCATCAGCTGTTGAAAAAAAAAAAATCAAACCAACATAGCTAATGGTGATACTGTCAAGTCAGTTAGTTACAGGCATACAGAAGGGAAGTGTGGACAAAAGTAGTGAGCAACAACAGCTATTGGAGTTTATCCTAACTCATTGACTGCTAGGGAATGGAAAACTGCTATTACTGCCCAGATTTCAAATACAGATCTCTTTGAGATTAATTATTTATTACATTCAAATCTAGTAGAATAGCATGTGAAAAGTAATGTATTCAAATCCAGGAATCTGTTAAAATTTGTTTCAAAACTTCAAATGTTTTTATTTTTTTTAAAGAAAGTATTTTTTTAATAAATTCAATTTTTAAAAGTATATGATTAAAATTACTATTCCTTTTTTTAAATTTATACATGTTTATTCTATTACAGTTGTCTCAATTTCTACCCTTTTACCGCCCTCCACCCATCCTACCCCTACCCCCGCTCCCACAGTCAATTCCCACTTGTTGACCATATCCATGGGTCATTCATACATGTTCTTTGTCTAGTCCTTTCCCCTTCTTTCCACCATTGTCCTCTTTCTCCATGTCCTCTGGTCACTTTCAGTCTGCTCAAAGTTTCCATGCCTGTGGTTTCTTTTGTTCGTTAGTTTATTTTGTTGAATAGAGTTCACTTATAGGTAAGATCATATGGTATTTGTCTTTCATTAACTGGCTTATTTCACTTAGTTTAATATCCTCCAGTTTCATCCATGTTGTCGCAAAAGGTAGGAGTTACATATCTCTCTCTCTTAATGCAGATTGATTTTATTTATTTTTTAAATGTGAAAGTTAATTATACAGTATTTAAAAAATTTAAAACCATTATAAAGTCTCAGCAATTAAACCAACATGACACTACCACAGAAATAATCAAGTAGGTCAATGAAATATGAGCATTCTAGAGACAAACGTATATATCTAACAATATAATATATGATTAAGTTGATATTTCAAATCAATGGGTAAAATAAGGCTTATTCAACAAATAAGGTGCATGACCACTATTACTTGAGATAAAACAAATATAGAGTCCTATTGCACACATTATACAAGAAATATTCAAGTGAGTTAAAAATCAATATGTAGAATCTAAGGAGTTTAGAAGAAAATAGAGCTAATATTTTTCATGCCTGAAATAAAATACTCAAACGCAGAAGTTATAAATATTGACAATATGATTATATTAAACATTTAACTGTATAGTAGTATACATATAAAAAAGTTAAAGGACAAGGAATAGAATAGGAAAGTACTTGCAACACATCTGAAACACTGTCAGTAGGGTGGTCTTTTTTTTTGTTTTTTTAGGGAAAAAAGTTCTATAAACCTTTAATCAATAAATGGGTAAAGAAAACCAAGAAGTCATTTAAAGCGTTTTTTAAAATAATAGAAACAGCCTGGAAATATACTAAAACAGGTTTAGTTTCAACAAATAGTATAGGAACAATTAAAATAATATCATTGTCACAATCAGATTAATGAGTATTAAAAATATTGGCAATATCAAGTATGGGCAACTCTGAAAGGAACTGGGTGTTCATAGCTTTTTCTTCATCTTAAAGCCGTCCCTTTAGCATATTTTGCAGTGCTGGTTTGGTGGAGGTGTAGTCTTTTAGCCTTCTTTTGTCTGGGAAACTTCTCATTTTGCCTTCCATTTTAATTGAGAACCTTGCTGGGTAGAGCAGTCTTGGCTGCAGGCCTTTGTTTTCATGACTTGGAATATTTCTTGCCAGTCCCTTCTGGCTTGCAAGGTTTCTGTTGAGAAATCAGCTGCTAGCCGTATTGGGGCTGCCTCATATGTTACTACCTCTTTCTCTCTTGCTTGCTTTAGGATTCTGTTTGTCTTTGATGTTTGCCATTTTAATGATGATGTGTCTTGGAGTGGGCCTCATTGGGTTCCTCTTAATCAGGACTCTGTGCTTCCTGGACTTGTGTGACTTTTTCTCTCCTCCAATTAGGGAAGTTTTCCATCATGACTTTTTCAAACAGGTTCTCTATCCCTTCCTCATCCTCTTCTCCTTCTGGTATCCTTATTATACAGTTATTATTATGTTTCATGTTGTCCTGCATTTCCCTAAATGCCTCTTCATTCTTTTTGGTCTTTTTTTTATTTTCTTGCTCCTTCTCGGAGCTTTTTTCTACCTCATCATCCAGCTTGCTGATTCGGTCCTCACCTTCATCAAGCCTGCTTTGCATTCCTTCTACTGTGTTCTTCAATTTAGAAATTGCATTCTTCATTTCCTCTTGTCTCTTTTTCATGCTGATATAGTTTGCAGTAAGTTCTTTGTAGTTTCCCTGTAGTTTTTGGCAATTCTCTCTGAGCTCACTGAGCTGATTGAGCTTCCTTAGAACCGTTGTTTGGAACTCAGATATGATAGTTTACCTGCCTCTAATTTAGTTCTCTTTTTGGGGATTGCTCTTTTCTCTTAGAGTGGGGCATATTTCCTTGTCTTCCCTTTATTTGTGAGACTCTTCCCTTTTGCTTCTGATTCTTAAGTTGATCTGTCTTGGTCTCCTGACTTTGTGGTGTAGACTCCTATGGCTGGAGACTGCTGTTTTTACTTTCTGGAGCTGTCTGATGTCAGATGTTGACCCTGTCTGACCGTAGACAGTCTGTTCGAGACTTCTAGTACTTTACTGTTCGTTGCTGTTTCCTTCAGCTGTTAATCTAGTCACTCTGCACTCAGCAGGCCACCTTATACAGCTCAGGGCAGGGCAGAATCCCTCCTGGGGGTGGGGTTATTGGGTCCTCTCACGCTGTTGCACATGGGGGAGGAGTCCGCACTGGGATTCCACCAGCTACTCTCTCCGTTCTCTCCCCAAAACCTCCGTCCCCAGTCTCTCCTCAAGTGTCGCCAGACATCTCTGCATCTTTAACCAGGGATCTACTGTCTGTGGCTGCCACTCTGCACTCAGCGGGCAGCTTAGACAGCACAGGGTGGGGCGGAATCCCACCTGAGGGCAGGGCTACTGGGTCCTTGGACGCTGGTGCTGCTCAAGGGGTGTGTTCTCCGCCTGAGGAAGATGGCCACTGCCACATAGGGGATGAGTCAGCACCGAGATCCCACCAGCTACTCTCTCAGTTCTCTTCCCAAAATCTCCTTACCCCATCTCTCCTCAGGCGTCTCTACCCCACTCTCCCCACCTTTGCCAGAGACCAGGGTAAGTGGCTGCAAATAAAAATTTATGCATTGGCCCTCTAAACAGTTCTTTGTGTCCCCAGCCGCCTGTCTCTGGCAGAGAGCAACCCTGCTGCTTTTTGCAGCTGGCTGTTTTCTGTATATCTTTTGGGCTCTGGTGCTGTGGGCTAGAGATTCTCACTTTTGGTTTAGACCCCGCTCTTCTTGGTCGGGGGGATCCAACAGGCCGTTTCAATATCCTTCTGGTGCTGCAGCCCGTGGGCGCCCCACCCACCTTCTCAGGTTTGTACCGCACTCCTTACCAGTTAGTTTGAGCTAAAGCTATTTCTTTTGTCTCTGACGTTACAAGGCTCCTCTCTCGCCATTGTTCAGTTGTTTGTTCCAGGTGCTTTCTGCACAATTTAGTTGTAATTCCAGGTTGGTCCTTGGAGGAGGTCAGTGTGACTTCCACTCACTCCTCTGCCATCTTCATTCCCTTAAATTCAAATGTTTTAAATAGGAACAAATCTCACTGTACAAATCCCTTCAAGATCCCAACCTACTTGGCAATTCTTTCTAAGCAGGTAGTCATACGACTGGTTGCAAGAAGGATGGTTGTAGATAAACAGACATATCTATAACAATATTTGTTAATGCAGATTATGGGTTTTGAGCTAGCCAACACCCCTCCTCCATGCCCCACACAGATGTGTGCATTTGGGAATCAAAAGAAGGCTAGAGGAAGCAGAGAACTGAATCAGCAAGCTGGAGGATAAGGTAGAAAAAAGCTCCCAGAGAAAGTAAAGAAATGGAAAAAAGGCTCAAAAAGAATGAAGAGGTGTTGAGGGAAATGCAGGACAACCTGAAAAATAATACCCGTGTAACAGGGACACTGGAAGAAGAGGAAGAGGAGCAAGGGATCGAGAACCTATTTGAAAAAGTAATGATGGGAAACTTCCCTAACTGGAGGAGAGGAAAATGTCATGCAAGTTCATGAAGCATAAAGGGTCCCATTCAAGAGGACCCAATGAGGCCCACTCCAACATACATCATTAAAATGGCAAATATCAAACACAAAGAGAGAATTCTGAAGGCAGTAAGGGAGACAGAGGTAGTAACATACAAGGGATCCCCACTACATCTAGCAGCTTCCTTCTCAACAGAAACACTGCAAGCCAGAAGGGAATGGCAAGAAATATTCCAAGTAATGAAAAGCAAAGGCCTACAACCAAGACTGCTCTACCCAGCAAGGCTCTCAATTAAAATGGAAGGCAAAGTAACGGGTTCCCCAGACAACAAAAGGCTCAAAGAATGCACCTCCACCAAAGCAGCACTACAAGATATACTAAAGGGACTGCTTTAAGAAGATGAAGAAAAAGACTGAGAAAGAGAGGTTCACAGGTACAAAGGGAAAAAATGAGTAAGTACCTACCAATAATAACTGTAAATGTAAATGGATTAAATGCTCCAATCAAAAGATATAGGATAGCTGAATGGATAAGAAAACATGACCCACACATATGCTCCCCACAAGAGACCCACCTCAGAATAAAGGACCTACATGGACTGAAAGTAAAGGGATGGAAAAGAATATTCCAAGCAAATGGACAGGGATAAAAACAGGGGTAGCAATACTTACATCAGACAAAATAGATTTCAAAACACAGGCCAAAAAAAGGGACCCAGAGGGACAGATTATAATATTCGAAGAATCCACAAAGAAGATGTAAACATTGTAAACGTATATGCACCCAACATAGGAGCCCCCAAATATATAAGGAAAATCTAAAAGAATTTCAAGAAAGATACAGACAGAAACACTGATAGTAGTGAATTTTAACACCCTGCTGTCAAAAATGGATAGATCTTCCACAGTATCAACAAGGGGACTGTGGAACACAATGACGCATTAGATCAAATGGACTTAACTGACATATAAAGAAAACTTTCACCCCAAACAGGCAAAATACACATTCTTTTCAAAGGTGCAAGAAACATTTTGAAAGATAGACCACATGATAGGACACAAAACAAGCCTCAACAAATTCAGGAAAATTGAAATCATAACAACAATTTTCTTGGCCCACAGGGCTTGAAACTAGAATCCAATCTCAAAGAAAAAACTCAAAAATACTCAAATTCATGGAGACTGAATAGAATGCTGTTAAACAATGAATGGGTCAAGAATGAGATAAGAGAAGAAATTGGAAAGTTTCTGGAACCAAATGAAAATGAACACACAACAATCAAAAACCTACGAGACACTGCAAAGGCAGTCCTGAGAGGGAAGATCGTAGCAATACAGGCTTACCTAAAAAAGATAGAAACATTTCAAATAAATGATCTAACCCTACACCTTCGAGGAGAAACAAGAACAAAGCCCAGAGCAAGTAAAAGAAAGGAAGTTATCAAGATCAGAGCAGAATTGAATGACACAGAAACTAAAAGAACAATTCAAAGGATCAATCAATCCAGGAGCTAGTTCTGTAGAAAGATAAACAAAATCGCCAAGCCTTTAAGCAGACTCATTAAGAAAAAAAGGGAGAGGACCCAAATAAAGAATATCAGAAATGAAAGAGGAGAAATAACAACTGATACCACAGAAATACAAAGGAGTGTCAGAAACTACTATGAACAATTATATGCCAAGAAATTTGAAAACCTCGATGAAATGGACAAATTTCTAGAAAAGTATAACCTTCCAACACTGAATGAAGAAGAAGCAGAAAGACTGACCAGACCAGTAACAGCTGGGGAAATTGCAGCAATAATCAAAAAGCTCCCTACACACAAAAGTCCTGGACCGGACATTTTCACAGGAGAATTTTACAAAACATTTAAGGAAGAGCTAAACCCTGTCCTTCTCAGACTATTCCAAAAATCCAAGAAGAAGGAAGACTCCCAAACTCTTTTTAGGAGGCCAGCATCATCCTAATCCCAAAACCAGATAAAGACACAACAAAGAAAACTACAGGCCAATATTGCTAATGAAAATAGATGCTAAAATATTCAACAAAATATTGGTCAACCGCATCCAGCAATACATTAAAAAGATCATCCACCATCATCAAGTGGGATTCATCCCAGGGATGCAGAGATGGTTCAGTATTTGCAAAGCAATAAACGTGATACATCACATAAACAAAAGAAAAGACAAAAACCACATGATCATATCAATAGATGGAGAGAAAGCATTGTATAAGTACAGTACCCATTTATGATAAAAACTCAGCAAAGTGGGAATAAAGGGGGCATACCTCAACATGATAAAGGCCATATATGAAAAACCTATAGTCAACATCATACTCAACGGGCAAAAACTAAACGCTTTCCCACTAAGATCGGAAACAAGATAAGGTTGTCCACTTTCATCACTTCTATTCACCATAGTATTGGAAGTCCTAGCCACAGTGATCTCACAAGAAAAATAAAAGGCATCCAAATTGGAAAGGAGGAAGTAAAACTATCATTGTTTGCAGGTGACATGATACTGTACATAGAAAACCCCTTAGACTCCACCAAAAAACTACCCAACCTAATAAGTGAATTTGGCAAAATAGCAGGATACAAAGTCACAGTTCAGAAACGAAGGCATTTTTGTACACAAAAATGAAATATCAGAAGCAGAAATCGGGGAAAAAAAAATCCCATTTGCTACAGCAAGAAGAAAAATAAAGTACATAGGAATAAACTTAACCAAGGAGGTAAAAGACCTATACACAGAAAACTATACAACACTGAAGAAAGAAATTAAGGAAGACACAAATAAATGGAAGCATATACTGTGTTCATGGACTGGAAGAATTAACATCAGCAACATGTTCATACCACCCAAAAGCAATTTATAGATTCAACACAATCCCTATTCAAATACCAGTGACGTATTTCAGTCATAGAACGAATATTTTAAAAATTTATATGAAACCATAAATGACCCCGAATAGCTGCAGCAATTTTGAGAAAGAAAAACAAAGCAGGAGGGATCAGAATACCTGACATTAAACTATATTATAAGGACACTTTACTCAAAACAGTCCGATACTGGCATAAGAACAGAGACATAGATCAATGGAACAGAACAGAGAGCCCAGAAATAAACCCATGTCTCTATGGTCAATTAATATTTGACAAAGGGGGCAGAAACATAAAATGGAGTAAAAATAGCCTTTTCAGCAAACAGTGTTGGGGGAGCTGGACAGCTATGTGCAAAAAAATTGAAATTCGACCACCAACTTACACCATACTCCAAAATAAACTCAAGATGGACAAAAGACTTAAATATAAGTTGCAACACTATAAAGTCCTAGAGCAGAACATAGGCAGGAAACTCTCAGATATCCCATGCAGCAATATTTTCATTGATATGTCCCCTAGAGCAAGGGACATAAAGGAAAGAATAAAATGTGAGTTCATCAAAGTAAGAAGCTTCTGCACAGCTATAGAAAACATCAGCAAAATGAAAAGGGAACCAACGGTATGGGAAAATATATTTCAAAAGAACCTATGCACCCCAATGTTTATAGAAGCACAATTTATAATAGCCAAGTATTGGAAGCAAACTAAGTACCCATCAGCAAATGAGTGGATCAAAAAACTGTGGTACAGTTACACTATGGAATACTAAGCAGCAGACAAAAGAAAGACCTACTACCCTTTGTGACAGTATGGATCGAATTGGAAAACATTATTCTAAGTGAGGTAAGTCAGGCAGTGAAAGACAAATACCATATGATCTCATCTATAAGTGGAACCTAGCCAACAAAACAGACAAGCAAGGAAAATATAACCAGCAACATTGAACGTTGATATAACATGATCATAAACAAGTGTTGGCAAGAATGTGGAGCAAAGGGAACCCTTGTGCACTGTTGATGGGATTGCAAATTGGTGCAGCCACTGTGGAAAACACTATGGAGGTTCCTAAAAAGAACCAACAGAAATGAGAGGGAAGGAGGGTGAGCTGTAACAGGGAAAGGAAGGGGAAAGGTCAAGTCAAGGGACATGTATAAAGGACCCATGGACAAAGCTAAAGTGGGGAGGGATTGAGGGAGGGAAGTTAGGGTGGCTGGGACAGGGGGAAGTTGTGGCGGGTAAATGGAGACAAATGTATTTGAACAATTAAAAATAAATTTTAAAAAAAAGCAAAAAAGGAGGAAAAAACACTGGGATTCTTACCATATGATCATATTACTTCATTTTTTTCTTTTTAAACTTAATTTTTTGTTTCTTTTTTACTTACAGTTGACATTCAATATTATTTTATATTAGTCTCAGGTGTAAGCATAGTGGTTAAACATTTATGTAATTTATCAAGTGATCTCCTCAGTTCTAGTACCTACCTGGCACTATACATAGTTATTACAATATTATTGTCTATATTCTTTATGTTATACTTTACATCCCCTTGACTATCAATTTGTACTTTCTAATCTCTTTACTCTTTTCACCTGGCCGTCTAAACCTCCCTACCTTCTGGCAACCATCCATTTGTTCTCTGTATGCATGAGTCTGTTTTGTTTGTTCATTTATTTTGTTCTTTAGATTCCACATATAAGTGAAATCATATGGTATTTGTCTTTCTCTGTCTGACTTATTTCACTTAGCATAATATGCCCTCAAGATCCATTCATACTGTTGTAAATGACAAGATTTCCTTCCTTCTCTAAGCCACATAAAATTCTATTATATATACACACACCACATTTTTTTAAATCATTGGTCCATTGATGGACACTTGCTTCCATATCTTGGCTATCGTAAATAATGTTAGGGTACATATATTTTTTTCTAATTAGCATTTTCATTTCCTTTGGATAAATACCAAGAACAGGGATTGCTGGATTATATGGTAGTTCATCAATATTTAAAATATTTTTTAGGAACCTCCGGTGTTTTCCACAGTGGCTGCACCAATCTGCAATCCCATCAACAGTGTACAAGGGTTCCCTTTTCTCCACATTCTTGCCAACATTTGTTTATGATCATGTTATTTCAACTGGGTCTCCACTGGGGGTTACAAACCAAAATACCTATAGCAACCAGAGAAATACTATAAACATGGGATTCTGGCCAGGTGGGACACTTAAGTACACATGCCCCATCTAAAGGGGAGGCCACTATTCAGTATGGAGAAACTGTTGCCATGTGGGAACAAAGGGACAGTTGCAGATCTTTGAGTTTTTGAAGAAGTCAAAAATTTGGATTTTTATAAAGGAATTCCCAAATACAATTGTTGGTGACTATCACAAAAATTTCTTTTAGGAAATTCTGTATTGCAAACAAATAATGTCAGTTAAGGCAGATATGGTCCTCTAGTCACTGATTGGAAATCTCAGGTCTATTGCCACCAATTAGGTCATCTCATACCTTGGTTAAGGAACACTGGATTTTCCCAGAACTGCATACTTCTGCAATTCGCATAGCTGGTCATGGGTTACTTCACACTGTTCAGCAAATAAAATGGTAGATAAGTGTGCTTTCTATAAAGATTAAATCAGGGCATGTGAAATTATGATTATCAAGAACAGTAACAAAGGAAGGCAAATTATTAAAATATTCTAGTTTCTGATGATTCTAGCATATATTCAAACATGAGGGTTCTAATTAATCGAAAAGGAAGGTCTAAAACCACAACCTGTGATAGGATATTATTAATGGAATACTTAGTATACACTGTTATAGAACCTTAATTACAGGTACCTGATTGTGTTAGGGTTAGCAGGATGAATAAAACATGATTCATGCTCTCAAGGAGTCCAATCTACTAGGGGGAAAAATTCAGAAACAGGTTAATTCCAATACAATGTGGGTAAATGCTGTTACTCAGGTACAGGAGTCAAGAGGTTGACTGCCTTGAGGGTTAGAGTGTTTAGGGTACAGCTTTGCTGAGAACACTGGGGTTGAGCCTTGAAAACAGAGTCAGGCAGGTAGGAGGAAACACTGCATCTAAATATGTAGTTTGGTTTGGCCAGAGCCAAGAATGCATGTTGCAGAGCAGAAGAGATATGAGAGGAGAGAGAATCGGGAGCCAGATCACATAATTTCAATATGGTCTAAGCTAGGGAGTTAAGACTTTATCCTGGGGCAACAGTGAGTTCACTGAAGTTCTGTCCCTCCTTAAAATAGCTTTGCCCTTATATCTTGTTATTAAAGTATATTGTGCTTATTTTAAGAAGAGTCAGATGATACAGAAAGGTAAAATAGATAAAAGACAGACAATAAATGAAAGTAAAAGTCACCTGTCCTGTACTTCTACCACTCAAGAAATAATGCTATTTTCATTTTAACCAGAGAGGCAGAGGGGAGTATAGTGGTAAAGAGCTCATGCTCTGGGCTCAGACAACTCTATTTCAATTATCAGCTTTACTATCTGGGACATATGCCTTAACCTCCCTAAGACACAGTGTCTTCATCTATATAGAGTAATTATACCTCTACCTCATCAGGTTATTGGTAAGACCAGTGAGATAGTGCAAGTACTGACGCTACTGCCTAATGTATCATAGGACTTAATATTAGATATTATTACTATTGCTATTTTTTCCTGTGACTTTTTAATTTTAACAGTAGTCTATTTTCTAAATTTTCCTAAAAACTTTTAATTTATCTGAAAAAAATCCCTATTGATGACAGTGGTTTTTTAAAAAACTATAAACAGTATTATGAGTATACCTGTACACCTGTCTATTTTCTTAGGATAAATTCCTGGTCAAAATAAATATGTATTAATATATTTGACATTCTGACAAATATTGCTAACTCCTGAAGAAGGTACCAATTTATATTTAGCAATCAAAAATGTGTGAGATTGAAAAAGATGGAACTGAGTGAGGTAGGGGTTCAGATGGTTATTGAGCAAGGGATGTCAAGGCCTGAGAAGGGTGAAAAGGACATTCCATAGGGGAGATAGCCCAGGATTAGGGGTAGGCATCCAGTACACACATGTGGGAGGCCCAATGTGGAGTATCAAAGCCTGAGCAGTATGAGGAGGGCATCCATGCATTAGGAAGTAAAGAGTAGTGAGTCCTGGCATCAAATCAGAAACTGTTGAGGGTAAAAAGGGAATCAATGCTGGGAGACAAGAGTGGTATCACAGGATTCAGAGCCTAAACAGAATGAAGGTGTCCATGTGAGAAGCATGAGGGTCTGTCACAGTAGTGATGAGGGCATTCACACAGGAGAATCACCTGGCATAAGGTGCAGAGTAACAGAGCCCAAGTTGGTCACTGAGGAGGGTGTAGGGGGGGGTGTGGGAAGTTGCAGCAATGGGGGACTGATCAAATATACTGAAGATAATGGGAGTTAGGTTTCTCACTGGTAAAGCAGAAAATTATAAATATAAAAAAGGGGAAAATTAGAATGAACCCTGAGAATTGGATTGGAAGTAGAGACACTGATATGAATTCATGGTTTTCCACTATGTATGAATATATATTTAATGTAATATGAATTATACATTTAAATATTAATTTAATTAAATATTTTAATGACTAAATTATAAACTTTTTTTTTTAAATCCTTACCTGAGTCCTTTTCATTGCTTTTAGAGAAAGAGGAAGGGGAAGAAAGGAGAGGAATACAGAGAGAAACATCGATGTAAGATAGAAACATCTATGGGAGAGAGGAACATCAATTGGTTGCCTTCCAAATACAACTGGACCCAGGATTGTACGTGCAACCTAGGTATGTGTCCTGAGCAGGAAACTGAACCCACAGCTCTTTAGCTTCAGGACAATGCCCCAACCAACTGAGCCACACCAGCCAGGGCATAAACAACTTTAATAAATAAAATTAATTTGGTAATATGAATTACAGATTTAAATATTAAATATTATAAAACTTTGACTGTAAACACTTGTATGTCTGTTTGTGTATATTTCCTAGCTCTCTTTTGGGAGTATGACTGGCAATGAACACAGTTAGCAACCAGATCTTGAGTTTCTAAATGTCATTTGCTATTAAAAAGAACCAAGTATCCTACGAGAAATGGCTGATTCCAGGGCTGAGGCAGGAAAAGCACACAAATGTCCTAGATGAGCCTAGAACATCTATGCCAGAAAAGTAAGGAAACGTTCACATAATGAAGTGGTCATGTCAAAAGGACAAAGCAGCTAACTCAAAGGCCAAATTTGGGATATTTGCAGCATCAAAATAGGAGAATGGATTATAACCCATTGAATACAATAGGTAACCAAAAGTTCACAATGAGGGAAAAAATGAGTAAATTGCAAGTTTAATAAGAAAGTATTTCCCCACAAAATTGGAGAAAAAAATTTAGAGAAGTTTAGCATGCATTATCTTAATCAACTAATCAAGGTTAATATGACTAAATGGGACAATTAAAATCATGCGTAAAATACCCTGGCTGGTGTGGCTCAACGGATTTAGCACAGCCTGCGAACCAAAGCATTGCCGGTTAAATTCCCAGTCAGGGCACAGAACCGGGGTTGTGGGCCAGGTCCCCAGTTGGGGGCGTATGGGAGGCAATCACACATTGATGTTTCTCTCCCTCTCTGCCTTCCTTCCCTTCTCTCTAAAAATAAATAAATAAAACCCTGGAAAAAAAATCATAAGTAACCTGATGAAATACAGAGTATCATTTCTGTGATATTCCTGCCAAAGATACATAACCCGAATCCAATCAATAAGCAACAGATAAACCGAAGTTGAGAGAAATTCTACAAAATATCTGTTCCAAGATTCTTCAAAAGCAGTAAGGTTATGGACGTTAAGGAAAAGACTGAGGGTTTCGGTTGAAGGAGACAGGACAACTAACACAACACATCATTCGGCGGAAGGACATTACCGGAATAACTGGAGAAACCCCGACAGGGCCGGAGGGTTAAATGGTAGGTATGAACGGATCCACGTGATTTGGATTGAAAGCAGAAAACACGCTAAAACATCTAGGGGAACACTGTGTTAGCAACTGCTTTCAATGTTGGCCGGGAGAAGCTTCTGGTACTGTTCTTGCAACTTTTCTTAATTTAATATTGTTTCAAAAAAAAAAAAAGGAATGAGAATGTCAATTTCTCCATAATTCTTACCCCATTTACTTTCTAAAAATTGTTTTGATCGAGAAAAAAATGAATTCCACTTTAATAAAAACTTTTCACAGCACTAATACCCTTCTAACCTACTACATGACTTATGCTGTCTTTTCTCTCTTTAGATTAAAACCAGTTTCTTCACGGTTGTCCCTCTGGTGCCCAGGGCGTCCCCCACCACCAAACAGCCGTCTGACAACGGGATATAGCCGGTACCAGGCCGCCCTCGGAACCCAGCACCGTTCCTAAACACAAAGCAACCCAACAGTGGCTGAGGGAACCTTCTTCTCGCGTGCCGGGCACCTACACCAGCTTGAACCACCAGCAGGAGCCCTGAGGAAGGTGCTAGGACATCCCACTCTACAGATCGTTAAGGAGGTCCCGAGAGGCCAGTGGGGACCCTGACTGGCGTCCCGGGCCCCACACGGCGGGGTCGGTGATCTGTGGGCTCAAACCCCCAACCCGGTGACTGTCTCTCACCTTGGCCTCGGGCTACCTCTCATCAAGCTCCGTACCGGCTCTCAACGCCTGGGCCGCCCTGACCCAGCTGGCTCGGGGCCCGCCTCCTCTTCCTGCCCTTCTCGGGGTGCCTAGCGTCTTTCTCTCTCGCTTCATGAGGCTGTGGAAAGGCTACAGCTAAAGAATCCCCGGCGCCAGGATTCCCTACACCGCCTCCAGAGAACCTACAACCTTCCTCAGCTCCTCGATTCAGTTCACAGCTCGCTCGCGCTCACCAGAAAGGGTGCCACCATCGCCCAGTACCCGGCGGCAAAGACCGCGCGCCCACACTTAACGGCTTTACCTGTCGCGCCGTACGAAGGGTTCTAAAGGATTTCCCAACTTCCAATCGCGCCTTTGCCCGTAACTTAAAAGGGGAAAGACAGCAGCCGAGCGGCCTCCCCGCCGAAAACCACGCCCCACACCCCGGGCCCGAAGATCACTGGAAGACGTCAACCAAGGGGAGACGACAGTCTCCGCCCAGTCTCCGCCCTAACCCACGTCTCAGCGACCAACCAGCTGCGCGAGGCGTTCGAACAGACCGGAAGCGGGAGCTTTCCATTTCAATAGGTGGAAATGGGAGACTTCCGGCAGCCGGGCGGTGCAGAAGCAATGCGTTTTGGAAACTGAGGAAAAGGTTGATGCGGCCTGCGAAGGGCGGCAGGGGGAGCTACGCAGTCGGTGCTACGCGGCTGTCCGCCGCAGGGCTGGGCTGGGGACCGCTGCGGAGTCTTCTTCCATCCTCTGCAGCCCCGCGTCTCCCACCGGGGCCTCGAGACCGTGTCTACGCCTAGGGGAACATTTGGACGGCTCCCTGTAAACAGTTCGGAGGTCCCAGGGAGTCCCCACTATCCCCATGAAGCTGTTCACCCCACCACTTCCTAGTGAGACGTTCAGTTCATAATGTGAATCGTTGTGGCTTTGCCCCTGGTTCCTGCACAGGCTGTGCACGTTTCTCATTTCTAGAGGAGGGTAATGTATTAGCGAATAGCGTGAACTTCAGAATGGGAGGATCTTGGGCTCAAACCAAGTGTACTTGGCGAATTACTGAATTCTTTTTCTCATCATGAATTATAGGTAGCAAAAGTGACTACCATGTACAGTTGAGGATTAAATTCGATCACTGTCATAGTTCATTGTCTGCAATGTAGTAAGAATTAGTAAATGTTAACTATTAATTCCAACTCCCAGTCACACCCGTTAAACACAAAACCAAAACAAATGTCTGCCAAGTAGTTTGCGTCACCCTCACTTAAGACCTCAGTAAGCTCATCTCTTTCTGTGGACTCAGCGTATTGCCTTTGGGGATTCTTTACCATCTGTTAACCTGAAGTAATTTACCATTGGTGAGGAGTTTCTTTACCCAGATATTTTAAGTTCCTAGAAGACAGGAACTGTCCTTGTCCTCTCTCCTCAGAACTGTGTTGTGCACATTAGCAAGGGCTTGAAAAATGCAAAGGCAAAAATAACAAGCTTTTCAAAGCACTTTTACCTCTATAATCACTTGAGTTCCTCTGTATTATTGTAAAATAAGGGAGCAGAAAGAATTAGTCCAAGTATGCAAATACGTACTTTAACGTCCATGTAGGTAAAATGACTACTAAAATCAAGAGAGAGTGGCAGTTAGGGCAAGGACCAAAGTCTTTCGCTCTCGAAGTCTAGTTCAATTTCCTCTCTATCACAATACTTTAATAATGAGCCAAGCCATTAATCTATTAGCCTATTCAAATAGGAGTATGATTGAGTTAGTTAAACAAATGGGGTGGTTGTACAATTTTTAGGCAGCATGGATTAATTAGGAGAAAGTCAGTTGCACCAGGGAATGAAAATCTAGGAAGAAGCATATTTAGTTTTTTTATAGTTTGTATCTTGCACTTTTAACATTAATAAAGCAAAAGGACACTGTGATCTTTTGCAGAGCAGTTATTTAACTAAATTGTCACTAACTTCCAGTAGACATGTTGGAATGATGGGGAACTTCACCAGACCCAGGAAATACTAAGTCTGGACTGCCAATGGCCAAAGCTGACATTAGATAAGTCACTTTAAAGTTTATAGATATAAAGGAGTCAACAGTTAAATAAAACAAAATGGTCTATGAATTGGTAGTTTACTATAAAACCTGACTTAACAACAAAAGAAAAGAACAAAAACCTAATGCCTACAAGTGTTATCTTATAAAGTTATTGTTTTAGTGTGGGTGGGTTGAAGGAAGGTATGAGGGGGGATAAATGGTGATGGAATGAGACTTGACTTGGGGTGTTGAACACACAACATAATATACAGATGATGTATTATAGAATCATACACCTGAAATGTATATAATTCTATTAACCAATGTCACCCCTATAAATTTAAAAAAATAAAGTAGTAAATAAGTGTTGTAGAATTACATAGAAAATCTAAATTGCATAGAAAATGAAAAAAATACCTTTGCTAAAAGCAGTACATTTTAACTTCCATGTAGTCTTTGTATTTAAATGTGGAAATACATTCAAGACTTTTAAGTAGATACACTCAACTTTAATATTTTCACTTACTTTTTGGCATGACTTTAATTTATAACCATTACATCACAGTGCTTTGGTTATTTTAATATGTTTTTACTGAAACAATGATTGATTCAGCATTAATTTAACAATTATATGTTTAAGTGTCAATTGATGGTTCTTTGATGTAGTTGAATTTCCAGTAGTATTGCTGAACACATTAACTGGAGAGATTGCCTCTGAATTCCATGCTTATGTTCAGCCTCAGCAACATCCAGTTCTTTCTGAATCTTGCATGGAACTGACAGGCATAAAAGCAGTTATGCCCTTCCATTTTCCCTACCTTTCTTCTCACCTACCCCTCCCCCAACAGTAAACAAGCAGGAATGATGCAGCTATTAAAATTCAGAAATCAGTTTCAAAAAGAATATAATAGCTATATACCATTTGGGAATTAGACTTATTCAGTGTTAGGAGAAATAATGTCCCCTCCAGAAGTCCACTGGAATCTTTAAAAATTAGGAACAGTGTTGTAAAAATGAATAGCAAATTTACTTTACGGAAATTTAATACATCAAATTTTTGGTGGCCTGGATTTAATTATTATATTTCTGTGATTTTTAGATTGGTAACCTAATTTTCTTTGCCTTGTAGAGTTCTAATCATTACATTCTTTCTTTCCCATGTGTTATAACATCTTTTCGCTAGATAAACTCTTTGTCAATAGGACCTCTTTTTTGTTATATTTATGGTGCCTAATTATGTGCTCAATAACTATGAAATTCGATTTTTTAATTCAGATTTTATGACTCCAGGCTCAAGTTGATGAAGGGGTCTATCTGAAGCTTTTCTTATCTCAGTTCTGTAAATGGATTCAGAAGATTCAACAACAGAAGAAAATTATTTTTGCTACTGGGATTTCAGGTTACCTACTTCAGAAGTAAAATTATGTACATTTGTTACTTGGTCAAGTAAAAAATGTTGTATCTGTCAATCATAAATGAGTAATATCATCACTATGTAGTTCTTTATTTCTAGTAAGAATTATACTTGTTAACCTTCTGGGCCAGGAAAAGAAATCCAAGGGCCTAGCAGATATTAACCAAGAAAAGTACATTTATTTGTTGTTTTTTTTTTAAAGATTTTATTTATTTATTTTTAGAGAGAGCAGAAGGGAGGGAAAAAGAGAGGGAAAGAAACATCAATGTGTGGTTGCCTCTCATGCAGCCCCCACTGGGGACCTGGCTTGCAACCCAGGCATGCACCCTGACTGGGATCGAACCAGTGACCCTTTGGTTTGTAGGCTGGCACTCAGTCCACTGAGCCACACCAGCCAGGGCTATTCATATTTCTAAAATTACCATTTTGGGATACTTTAAAATTTTAAACCTTAACTTTAAGAATCTTTCTAGATTGTTCCTCTCTATTCTTCTGAATCCAGGTGATGATTTAACCTGGAAGTAAAAACACTTATTGTTCTATTTTTACAATCTTGAATAAAAAGAGCTCTTGTTCAACTTATATCCTTTGCTTTTATTTCACAGTAATGTAGACATCAAGGGAAAAAATGGGCCATTTAAAGTAGGTCTTTTGTGTGACTGATAAAGCATTGCCGTTAATAGTCATTGATAGCAATGCTGTGCAATTGGCAGATTAGTATTGGTAGTCATATTTGGTTTTAGGTTGCTATGTTTGGCTTCTCAATTACATGACCACATATGACTGTAAAGCATACTGTGATGCGTTGCTAAAGAGCAGAGGAGATCATGTGATGATCACCCTAATGAGAAAATTGAGGCACCATAATGATTTCCCACAACTAGTTAGTACAGAGATTAGGAATAGAATTTACTTCTAATAACCATATAGTGTAGAAGTTATAAGATGTATTTTCTAGACTATGTAAGATATATTTTGTTCTCAAAATATAGATTTATATTTCAATGCAAATTATTTAGTTTACTTAATGAACTTATTCTCAAGCAATGTAATAATAATTTTCTGTTGACTAGAGACTTTACCACCATTTGGAATATTTAAGTCAAATATTAAGGTTTTATTTTGTTTTTTTTTTTAAATTCTTAACAATTATTTCTTTTTATTTTTTCACAATTTTTAATGTATTTTTTTAATTTATTTTTTCAAAAACATTTGTCTCTGCCAACCCCCCATCACTTTCCCTACCCCTCTCCCTCCCTCCCTCCCTCACCTCTTCCCCTTTGGTTTTGTCCATGAGTCCTTGCTATATGTTCCTTGAATTTCCCCTTTCCTTCCTTCCCCAGCCCCGCCCCTCCTTCCATCTTGTCTCTGTTGGTTATTTTCCTTTCAGTGTTGCTGGTCTTATTTTCCTTGCATCTTTGTATTGTTGGTTAGGTTCCACTTATAGGTGAGATCATATGGTATTTGTCTTTCGTCCCCTGGCTTATTTCATTGGCATAATGCTCTCCAGTTCCATTCATGCTGTCGCAAACTGTAGTAGTGCTTTTTTTCTTTCTGCTGCGTAGTATTCCATTCTGTATATGTACCATTATTTTTTGATGCAATCATCTACTGATGGGCATTTATGTTGCTTCCAACACGTGGCTATTGTAAATTGTGCTGCTATGAACATTAGGGTACATAGGTTCTTTTGAATTGGCGTTTTGGTATTATTAGGGTATAGTCCCAGCAGGGGAATCACTGGATCAAAAGGCAGTTCCATTTTTAACTTTTTGAGGAAATTCCACACTGCTTTCCACAATGGCTGCACCAGTCTGCATTCCCACCAACAGTGTACTAGGGTTCCCTTTTCTTCACAGCCTCGCCAGCACCTGTTCTTTGTTGATCTGTTTATGATGGCCATTCTGACCGGTGTGAGGTGGTACCTCATGGTGGTTTTGATCTGCATTTCTCTGATGGCTAGTGATGCTGAGCTTCCTTTCAAATGTCTCTGGGCCCTCTGTATCTCCTCCTTGGAAAAGCGTCTGCCCAGGTTCTTTGCCCATTTCTCGATTGGATCATTTGTCTTCGTGGAGTGGAGTCGAGTGAGTTCTTTATATATCTTGGAGATCAAACCTCTATCTGATGTTATCAT